AGTCCTGGCTCAGTTTCCCCATTATGTTCCTTTGAAAAAGGAGTATTACCACCCTGGCTATTCCTGAGTCTGGCTATGAGGTGGATTTGATACTGCATGATTGGAAAATAGAATTATCTGAATCTAAACAGAGCTAAGCATGTTTTATCCTGTCATATTTGGGCCCTACATCTAGTCCCTGCTTTATCCTTTCAGAGCAAATTTCTACAATCAGAGCAAGTGGTCAGTAAAAGATCAGTGCGAGTGTGTGAGATCTTGTTGTTTTGACCTGAATGTATAGTCATTCAGTACCCCCCAAACAACCAAAATTAAGTCAGAAACATCTTCAGTTTGGTTTGGGGAGGAAAATTTCAATGATAATTGAAGTGAAAGTCAGCCTCTGGCATTTCTATAATTATTGAACCCAGGAGTGGAAAACTTCTACCTGCAAAAGTGTTACTTAAACTTTAGAAAAAGTAACAAGATCAGATAATCCTGCAGGTCAAATGTAAATTATTTTAATGGGGCTCTCACACTTTTACTTCTGCCTATATCTGGGCCCTGCAGTCTTTTCTGTCAAATTTGTTTCTTCCAGACTACAGGCCACTCACCTACAGTTGGTAGCAAACAGTGGGTACCAGCCAATGTCCCTCCATCATCCCCTGGATTCAGTCTGTACTCAGTTCCAGTCAACTTCTTTGGTACCCCCTCGAGACAGGGACAACTCTACGCCCCTTGCCAGCAGGAAGCAGTTTTAGAAGCCAAGACTTTTGCCCCTTACCTCAAAAGAATTTGGGTCCCATTTGTTTGAGAGGGGAATGATGGAGTTGGGATCTGGACCCCAGGAAGGAAAAACCCTGGACTTGCCCACATGGCCAGATTTCTGGTGGTCACCTGAGGCTATAATCCTATCAACTGGCCCTTCATTGTGGCTACACCCAATCTCCCAATTCTGTTCTGTCACCTCCCAATTGCCTCTGACCACTTCCCATCCTTAATCCTATCTAGGTTCCATTCTTAACTCACAGTCCCTGCAGACTACTTGGCCACTCCTAGATCTCCCCCATAGTCTTTCTGTATATAAGGTCCATCTTGTCTCCATTAAAGTGCTCAGATTCCTTAAGAACCTAGCCAATAGCTCACAAATGTTCAGATTCCTTAAGAGTCTGATGGTGGATCTTTAATAAACCTTGTCTTCGGCTGATGGGAGACTTGGGTCAAATTCATTCAGGCAGGGCCCACATGTCATGATTTCAGGGTCCCAGCACCCCTAAACCTCTAGACCTCATCATAAGAAGTGAAATAGGCAAGACAGATGGAGGTATACCTCTCCGTTCCTTCTGTTACCATCTTGTGGGCCAAAAATGTTCACTCTCAGGTTTCTGGTCTCTGATCTGTATTCAGATAAGGCAAGAAGAGCAAAAAGCATCCAGTAATATGATGTTCAGGAACTCTTTAGGTTTTCAAGTACAAGAGAGATTAGACTTGCTCAATTTGGCCCCGGAAGGCTGAATAAACAGAAATTACAAAGAAGCAAATTTTGGCTTGATGTAGAGGAAAAATATTCTAGTAGCTAGTGCTATGCCAAATTAGTAGGGGGTACATGCTTTGGCTCATTCTTGCAGAGACAGGACTGCTACATCACTCCATTATAGTTCTGAATACCCTGATGGGTTTGATTTTTTCCCCCTCTGTTACTGACTTGAGCCCCACCCCCTCATTGGCTATATTTCCTCACTACCCCATAGTTATGTATTAGTGACTAGCATCCCACTTCCATTTAACCACTTAAAATCTATTAGCTTTCACAAAGGGATTTTAACTTCAAACAGTCTCCTCAAGGCATTGTCATTCTATTTTATCACCACTCTCAGGGAAGTGGATTCCTCTTCACATTGACAAAGTTGCAAGCTGAGTATGCACCACCATCGCATATGAAGAGGTGGCCTTACTCTCCTTACTAAGGCAAACCTCTCTATCCACATAAGGGATTGGATTCTATCTACCCTCCTCCAATAGATTTCTTGTTCTGTCTTATTTATCTTCAAGGAGAGCCCTGTCTACTCGGTCCTTCCCTATTTGCCTATGAACATACCCACGTCTCTCCCATCCACAAAAAGCCCTCACTTTGATCCTTCATTCCTGTTATCATCTATCTTTTCTTCCTTTTGTGGCCAAACAGGTTATCTATGATAGGTATTTTCACTTTCTCTCCTCTCATTCACTTTTTAATTCCCTACAGTTCATCTTTTAACCTCATCATTCTACTGAAATTGTTCTCTCCAAAGTTACCCATTATCTCTTAATTGCCAAAGTCAATGGCCCTTTCTCTATTCTCATTCTTCTTGACTTCTCAGTAGCTTTAGACGCTGTTATCCTCTTTGATATAATCTTCTCTCTAAATGTTTTGGGACACCACTCTTTCCTGTTTTGTTTTGTTTTTTTATCAGACTGTTTCTTCTCAGTATCTTTTGCTAGATCCTTATCCAGATCATACCCTCCTCTTCTCCCCCTATATTACTTCACTTGGTGATTTCATCAGTTCCCATGGATTTATTTTTTTTTCTTTTTGGTGAGGCAGTCAGGGTTAGATGACTTGCCCAGGGTCACACAGCTAGTAAGTGTCAAATGTTTGAGGCTGGATTTGAACTCAGGTTCTCCTGACTTCAAGGCTGCAGCTCTATCTACTGCACCACCTAGCTGCCCCATGGATTTAATTATTGACTCAAATCTACCTATGCTGGTGGTGAACAATGGAGATTAAGAGACTTTCTGGACAAGTTATATTTGCCACTATTGTGGAATTTTGAAGTTTAGGCTACCTTTGGAAGGCAACTCAGATCCAGGTAAGCCTCTGGCATCTAGAAAGAGCAAAGTTGTCCAGATACTTGGAAGACTTCACTATGGGTACTGCTGTTTATCTGCCCTAGTGAAGGTGGCCTAGGGAACTGTTATTGTTTCCTCTCTCTCAGGAATTTTGTTCGTAGCTTTTCAATCAGGTGGAAGGTCAGTCTTCTGCTATTAAGTGAATATATGATGAAAGAGGCCTTTCTTCCTAAGACAGACTAGGGCTGTATCTCTGATATGATAGCCTGTGAGACTCAGTTCTACCAGACTCACAGATGGTTGGGAAACTCTGGACATAAGATATGGATTGCTTCAGTAGATAGTGAGTTATCTATCACTGAATTTCTCCAAATAGAAGCTGGATGACCATTCCTCAGGGACATTATGGAGGGGATTTATGTTCAAGTATTGGTTAGACTGGATAACTTCTGGAGTCCTTCCCAACTCTGATTCTATGAATCTGACAACTGTGAATCAAACTTCAAAGGAAAGACAGGTTCACTTCTAGTCACAACAAAGTAAATCTGATTTATATTTAATGGGTACAACATGGTAATTAGACACCAAAGGCAAATAGTTAATGTCAATTAGTTTAATCAACAATACACAAACCAAGTTTTTAGCTTTGTAATCTCTCATTTTTCAACACCTATAACAGCAATGATGTAGATGCTTTTTCTATAACAATGGACACATTTGATCCCATTACCTGCCCTAGAAGACAAATACCCTAGGATCTTCTCCTTGTGCTCCTGATCCTCATCCCCTTCCCATATGACCCAGGACTGATGACACTCCCTAAGCTTCTTCCATGTCTTTCCTCCTACCTTATTCCAGGGAAAAGGGTAGGCAGATAAGAACACAGTGTAGTTGGACCTCAGCTCATGGATTTAGAGTTGGAGTGGTCCTTAGGATCATCTATTACAATTACCTCAACTTACAGAGGAGGAAACTAAGGCCCAAACAAGTTTTGATTAAGTGAAAATCACACAAGTTGCCGAGCTGGGATTCAAACCAAGGTCCCCTGACTCTAAATCCAGCGTTTTTTTCTACTGTTCTGCATTGCCTTTGCCAACAAAATTATTTTTTGATTGAGAATGCTTTAAATGAAATTCTGAAAAAACAATTAATAATATGGACAGGAGTTTCATCTACAGACATCAGATTATCAGGATCTAAAATGCAGAGCAAGATACACTGACTCTGGGACAACCTTAGCTTTGAACACAAATTATACTGCAACCAGCAAATCAGCAAGGCATGGGAGAGTGATCTAAACAGTTGGGGGGAGAAAATCCCCAAACCCAACCTTCAAATACCTTGTCATGGAGAGTTGTGCATATATTCTCAGTGTTAGGAAATGGTTACACTTCTTTTCCTCCTTTCTTCTGCCTTATGGAGAGAACTAAGAGTTGTTAGAGTAGGAGGCTGCTGAGACAGTCACAGGGACACTGTGCTTCATTTCCTCGCCCTTCTTCTAGTAGCTAGGAGGAAGGGGGCTGGCTGTGGGAATTGAGGGCAAAGCTATTGGAGCTCTGACACAAACTAAAGGAAGCTCAGAAGATGAGGACTTTTGATACAAAATGAATGACTTTTCTTGTCACTTTAATTTCATTACTTGAGTCTCCTGTAACCTACGTATACTATCACCAGATGGCGGCACCATACTATTGCACAAATGGTATAGGATGAGTGGTATGTGTGATTGCCTGAGACAGATGACCACATATTTTCTTTTTCATAAAATATACAACTTCAAGAAACAGCTACACTTAAATAACTTTAAGTAGAAAAGCAAATAGTTTTTGAGTAAGTTGATTTTTTGTGTGTATGAGGCAACTGGGGTTAAGTGACTTGCCCAAGGTCACACAGCTAGTAAGTGTCAAGTGTCTGAGGGCAGATTTGAACTCAGGTCCTCCTGACTCCAAGACTACATCCACTGTACCACCTAGATGCCTCAGTTTTTTTTTTTTTTTGGTTAGGCAGTGGGGTTAAGTGACTTGTCCAGGGTCACACAGCTAGTAAGTATTATGTGTCTGAGGTCAGATTTGAACTCAGGTCCTCCTGAATCTAGGGTTGGTGCTCTATCTACTGCGCCATCTAGCTGCCCCTAAGGGTTTTTTGTTTTGTTTTTTTCTTATGTGAGGCAATTGGGGTTAAGTGACTTGCCCAAGAGGCCAGATTTGAACTTGGGTCCTCTTGACTGTAAGGCTGGAGCTCTATGCACTGCACCACCCAGCTGCCCTCTTGAGTAAGTTTTTAAAAGAGGGTAAAAACCTGTGATACAGGGCTCTAGCTTGCTTTCTTATCCATATATTTTCTTCTCAGTTGAATCCACTGCTAATTTTATGCACAGACTATTCTCTCATAACTCACCCTAAATCATTTTACAAAGTGCCAAAATATTCCTGGGGTGAGGTAAGGGAACTTATGAACAGCTTTAGAACTTTGGGTCAACTTGACTTCAAAATTTCTGTTATTCTGTCAGGACTCGGATATTCAGCTTAGAGAATCATTTCTTTTATGCCATTCTCTATGTCCAAAACTACTTTCCAGTTACTCCTATCTCCTTCTCCTCCAGTTCTGCCTATTAAAATGCTACACATCAGTCCCTTTATGGATGGATCCAATAGATCAGTCTCTTTCATGAAACCATTCATGACCTTTCCAGCTAGATGTGACCTTTCCTTCTTTTGAAGGCCTATAGAATTTGTATCTCTCTAACTACACTTTCATGTTTGTATTGTGTTAGTTATTTTTACATGTATGTCTTAGATTCCCTATTGGATTGTAAACTTTGTGAAAGGAAGTACTCCGAATTATATTTTGTATCCTCCACAGTGCCAAGTATATATCAGGCACTCAGTATATATAAATATTCATTGAATCCTGAGTGAAAATCAAATAAATGTATCAGTTTTTTGTAATAACATTTTGCTCTAAATTACCTTCTTTAATTAGCGTGATTGCTTGAGATTACTTAAACTTAACTGTTTTAATGTTTATTTTATAGAATTCTGCATACATTTACATAAAAGATGTAGAAATTCATGGTTAAATATAAGAGGACTATAGCAGAATTACATCTTTTGAATCTCAGAGAAGGTACATGCCTGGACATTCAGGACATATGTTGGAGGCACCCTTCTACCAAACAATGCTAGCATTTCTAAATTTTTGAGAGATAAATCTCTTAGAGTAGAATTTCATAGGAGAAATCATGTAGTGACATAGCTATCACAGAGTCTCTCCAGTGTGAATTCTTTGATGATTAATAAGGTGAGAGCTCTGACGGAAGGCTTTACCACATTCATTGCATTCATAGGGTTTTTCTCCAGTGTGAATCCTCTTATGTTGAATGAGGGATAATTGTACAGTGAAAGATTTCCCACACTCATTACATTCATAGGGTTTCTCTCCAGTGTGCATTCTCTGATGCTGAATAAGCTGTGATTGCTGACTAAAGGCTCTCCCACAGTCATTACACTCATAAGGCTTCTCTCCAGTATGAACTCTTTGGTGCTGAATAAGGTTAGAACTCAGAATAAAGGCCTTTCCACATTCACTACACTGACAGGGTTTGTTTCCATTGTGAATTTTCTGATGTTGAATAAGATTAGAGTGTTGACTGAAGGCTTTCCCACATTCACTGCACTCATAGGGCTTCTCTCCAGTATGAACTCTCTGGTGTTGAATAAGATTAGAGCTTAAAATAAAAGCTTTCCCACATTCACTACATTCATAGGGTTTTTCTCCAGTGTGAATTTTCTGATGATGAATAAGTTGTGAGCTTTGACGGAAGGCTTTACCACATTCATTACACTCAAAAGGTTTCTCTCCAGTGTGAATTTTATGATGTTGGATAAATGATGAGCGGTCACTGAAGGCTTTGCCACAGTCATTACATTCATAGGGTTTCTCTCCAGTGTGAATTCTCTGGTGTTTAATAAGATTAAAGCTTTGACTGAAGGATTTCCCACATTCATTACAGTCATAATGTTTTTCTCCAGTGTGTATCTTATGATGTCGAATAAGGCCAGATCGCTGACTGAAAGCTTTTCCACATTCATGACATTCGAAGGGCTTCTCTCCAGTGTGAATTCTCTGATGATCAATAAGGTTACAGCTCTGGCTGAAGGTTTTTCCACATTCACTACACTGATGGGGTTTGTCTCCACTATGAATTTTACAATGCTGAAAAAAAGATGCACGCATACTGAAAGCTTTTCCACATTCATTACATTCATATATTTTCTCCCCAGTATGAATTTTGATATGCTGAATAAAGTAAGAATGGGCACTGAAAGCCTTCCCACATTCATTACATTTGTAAGGTTTCTCGCCAGTATGTGTTTTATGATGCCGAATAAGGCTAGAGCTCCGGCTAAAAGTTTTTCCACAGTCATTGCACTCATAGGGTTTCTCTCCAGTGTGAATTCTCTGGTGCTGAATAAGGGTTCTGTTTTTGCTAAAAGCTTTCCCACATTTGTTACATTCATAAGGTTTGTCTCCATTGTGAATTTTATGATGATGAACAAAAGATGAGCGGTCACTGAAAGCTTTACCACATTCATCACATTTATATGGTTTCTCTCCAGTGTGAATTCTCCGGTGTTTAACAAGGTTAGAACTCTGGCTAAAGGATTTTCCACATTCGTTACACTCATAGGGTTTTTCTCCAGTGTGAATTTTATGGTGTTGAATAAAAGATGAAAGTGCAATAAAGGCTTTACCACACTCATTACACTCATAAGCTTTTTCTCCAGTGTGAATTTTATGATGCTGAATATAAGATGAGAGAGCACTGAAGGCTTTTCCACATTCATTACATTCATAGGGCTTCTCTCCTGTGTGAATTCTCTGATGTTGAATAAAGGATGTTCGCACATTGAATATTTTTCCACATTCATTACATTCATAGGGTTTCTGCCCAATATGAATTCTCTGGTGTTTAATGCCATTACCATTACAGCACTGGCTGGAGGTTTTTGCAGATTCATTATTTTCATATGATTTCTGGCCAATGTGAATACTCTGAGGTTCACTAAGAATTGGACTTTGCCTAAACACTTTCCCACATGATTTAGCTTTATATGGTTTCTTTCCATCATGAACTTTCTGATGATTAATTAGGTCTGCATTTGCTTTGAAGTTTTGGCCACATGTATCACACTGATGGAGTCCTTCTCTTGTTATAACCCTTGGATGTCTAACAGAGCTTGAGTTCATACTGACATTTTCCCCAAATTCATTACATTTCTGGTCTCCTCCCTTTGTGGGTGTTTTCTTGTGTATCACTGTCCCTGACCTAAAATTTTTCTCCTGGGAAGACAATTTCCTTAATCTCTCTCCCAAAGGTTTTCTCTGACATTTCAATCTGCCATTACGTTCACCTTTTTCAAACTTAGGTTTTCGGAGGCTATTTACTTTGAATTTTCTTGATAAAGTCCCCTGTGATTCCATTTCCTCAGACATTTCTTGTTTTGGAGTAAATATCTTGTTTTTAATCTCAGTTTCATAGCCTGAAACAATGACAAAATACAATGGTTCTTATTTAGGGGGAAAGGAAATGGATAACATAGGACAGGACAGGACATTTATAAATCTCAATGCTGTCCTTATACTCTTGACAAAGGATAGTGGTACTTCGAGGATAACAGAAGACAAAAGCAATGGGAGGTGTAGTGGGCACAGAAGGCAGAGTGAGGCTGGAGAATGAAGATAGCACACTAGAAAGGTTGGGATGGGTAAACAGGAGCAGTTTAGTTAAGGGAGGTAAAGATAAGCAAGGAGTGAAGGAGCTGAACTGAGGATAATGGATAAAGGAGATGAGCTCTGAGGAAGTTTGTAAAAGGTGATTATACCAGTGAGAGAAGGGTATTAAAAACAGCATACACCTTCAATACATTGTTCCCTAGATACCTTGTAGGAAAGAGATGTTTTAGGTAATTTGCTTGAAGATGTTAAATGAATATTCACATATGTTCATTACATATATCAATACTAGGGTATGTCAAAGCTTTTGTGTATGCATCAAAGCCTTGTTCTCTGAATAATCTTAAGGCTAGGGTCACAAATGCAGTCCTTTCAGTCACTGAACAGCAGTTGATGGAAATTTTTACAAAGTTAAAAATTTGACTAGAATAATGAAAGTACAAGGGAATGATGTTGAATTTTAATGAAAACATCGATATTTTAAAATTTTAAGATAACCTTTCAAATGTATTTGTAAGTCTGTAGTATTTATGCTTCTAAAGTATTAAAATTGCAGTAAGATACCCTGTACCAAAGACAATGGGGGGTTGGTTGGAGGAGATAGTTGCTGAGGCCCCTACTAGCTCTAAATCTGTGATCCAATAAATTATGCCTGGGGCCCTGCTAAGCATATAGAAGATGTTTGATAAATGAATACTTAAGGACTGAATGAAAGGTTTTTGCTTACTTACCTGAACAGTCAGCTCTCCAGGCCTCTCTCCCCTTAGCTTCCTGCTCGTCCAGGACCCAGGGCTCTTGTCCTTGCTCTAGTCGAGAGATCATGTCAGGTTTGGGCACTAGAAATCCTGCTCATGGGAAATGAAAAGAAGACTTGTCAGTCTTCAGCCCCAGAACTGTTCTGAGCTCATGACCAAGCCCTGGGTCTTCTAGGAAGAGGTGGAAGAAGATGAGAAATACCTAGCCAAGATAAGACCACAAGATCCACAGCAGGTCTGAGTATCCTAAGAATTGTTTCCTTGGGGGGGAAACTTAGGATATGGGAGGTGGGTGTGAAGGTCAAAGGATTGGCGATCTGAGCACAGAGAGCAGTTACCTCATATATGCTATCTCCAACTGGGATAGAAAATTCCATGATGTTGGTGGAGACTTCTAGAGCTAGGGCAATAAAACTTGGAAATTGGAGGAAAAGGAAAGTGTAGACTTAATTTTTTTTTTTTAGCTAGGCAGTGAGGTTAAGTGACTTGCCCAGGGTCACACAGCTAGTGAGTTGTCAAGTGTCTGAAGCCGGACAGACTTAGAAAATATTAAGGAAGTTTCCTGTACCCAATTCTACATGGCTCAGGTCTGGGGCCTCAGTACTGAAAGCAGGCATAACTTATAGTTGAATCCAGAGATAATGAGGAATCTCTAATTCCTGAACTCTGAGGTAAAACCCAAACAATAGCTTCAAAGCCTACTTTGGATAACAAAAACAAAGCCAAGAAGTCCAGATGAATCCCAGGGTTGAGCCTTACCTACAGAGACTATGTTTCCATAATTTTCCATCATCACATTCCTGTACAGATCTCTCTGAACTGGGTCCAGAAGGCCCCACTCCTCCTGAGTGAGGTACACAGCTATGTCTTCAAACATCATGGAAGCCTGAAACAACATATTTTTGCTGAAAATTCCAGCTACAGGAACAGTTCCAGTGTTGTGCCTGGGGGTGAGAAGGGAGCTGGTAGTTTGTGGTAAGGGAAGGTGCTTCAGAAGCAGTAGATCCAGAGGTTAAGTCTTTGGGTGCAGATGTTTTCAAATCTACATGAGTATGTGTATAGTCATATGCATGTAAGTGTTATTGTGTATCCATATGAAGAGGTAGAGGTGTCTACCCTCTTCTTGGTTGAGAGATGGGGTAGAAATGGATAGATTTTGGGGAAATGAAGAGAGGCTATGATGAAAAGACCACTGAACTTGCAGTGAGACCTGGATTCAAGTCCCAGCCCTTCCACTAACAAACCTTGTTACACATCAATCACTTCTTTAAGTCTCTGCTGCTTCTTCTTTAAAACGAAGGGGTTGAATCGGTTGGTCTCTAAGATCTTTCTTCCAAACCTCTCTAGAGTGACTTCAAGATTGTAGAGCAATCCCCTCCTACTGTTGCCAAAACATCATTACCCTCTCTCTGAATTGCAACATGTTCAACTTTGGGTAATATGCAGTTTTGCCTAGCTGGATGTGAGTATAACTTTCTACAAATGTAATCAACTGGGAGGAACAGTAACTTCTCTGATGACAATTTTTTGGTTTCCTGTATTGCCTTACCAACATGGCGGATACGGAAGGCTTCCTGTGGAGCTTGCACTTAAACTGGCCTTTAAAGTGGCATCTCAAGAGCATGATAAGTGTTGCTGAGGTGGAGAGAGCAGAAGAGACTAAATGTTTTTGAGAAGAAAACTGATATGACCTGGAAGACTACTCTGTCAGTGGAAATGAAACAGGCTTGTTTCTATGATATCTTCTGACTCATTCATTACTTAGGATACTGTTGTTTAGTCTCCATTTATGTCTGTATTTTTCATTCATATTTCTTTTTTATCTGTGGCACCACTATCTGGTCTGCTATGTTTGTAATTCTGGAATTGCCTTTGATCCTTCATTTTCTTTCATCCCCCAGTTACTAGATTCTGTTGATTCTATGTTTGTACATCTCTCACATCCATTTCTTTCTCTTTATTCCCACTGCAGCCACCCTAGAATAGTAACCCTCACTCAGAAGGAGGCTTAAGTCGAGAAAGATGAGCTCAATTCTGGACACAATGTGTTTGAGGTACCAGTGGAACATGCAAGTGAAGATCTCCTATAGGCCACTGGAGATGCTGGAGATGTGCACGTGTGAATGAGAGAGAATGCATGCATATGCAATGTTTTATTCCCAAGTTCCTAGGCGACGGATTAAGATCTCTGGTCTTTGGGTGGGCAGTACAATTCCAAATTGAGGAAAGAAGCTGAGGCCACACTAGTACCATAACAGTAAATGGTTTTCAGCAAGGGCAGCTCACCTGTTGCCCAACTGGTAGGGGTTCAGCCGCCATCATCTAATTTCTTAGGACCCCCTCAGAAAGATAGGCAGGAATTTGAGGAGCAGTTAAAACTAAAGAAAAAGGAAGGAGCCATGAGTGAGAGTAGATTACCCAAGAAGACTGCCCCACTACTTCCCCTTTGGCTTCTCTAGTCTTCTCCTGGAAGTCTCCAGTGACCTTGTGATAGATTCCCCTTCCTACCTTGTATTGACAACAGAGATCTAAGTTTATCAATTGTGCAAATGACAGACTGAGAGAGCCACGACTATGGATATAACTAGTTCACATGGCAGACAAGGTGTGTGAAACTCTTGGACTGCTCTATCCCAAGAGTGTCACAGAACACCATTCAGGGATTAAGATGAAAGAACATCCAGTCTACAATGATTACTGGATGGAATCTGAAGTTACTAAAATTTCAGGAAACCCAATTGTTTAAAATATATAAACATGTATCTAATGCAAAAGGAACATTCTGTATCTTTTGAGTTTCCAGAGGAATAAGATGACAAAGGGCAGTAGGTCCGTAGCTAAAAGGATATGAACGGAAGTCTGCACGAGAAACACAAATGATAAATCATCAAATGTGAAAAAGGTTCAAATCTTTAATAACTAGATATGAAAACAACTGAGAAACCAACAATACTTCGATGACTTTGCGATCTTGTTGACATGTATGTTCCTGCCATGATATAGATTACAACCAGAATCATTGAAGTACTCAAAACCTGAAATAATGTCTGAAAGAATCTGCTAACAGAGACCAAATCTGGTCTTGGAGAACAGATAATGAAACACATTCCCCTCTCACAATAGAGGTGAAAGATTATGGGAACTGAATGCTGCATATGCTAACTGACATGATTATTCTGTCTGTGAGTATTGTTCAACTATTTCTTTATCATCAGGGAAAGTTTGATGTTGGAAGGGGGAAGCATACTAGGAAATGACAGCAATGGAAAAAAAACCCCAAAAGGAATCAATAAAATAGTAAACAAAATAAAGAGATCTGCCATATGCTACTCTAATTCAGGATGGAATCTATTGAATTTCTCATCTCAGGAGTGAGAAGTATAAGCAAGGATGAAGGTGCTGTGGGTCTCCTCTGTTCAAGATGCCCAAACATCAGTGGTTTGGGGCAGATAAGGTAAAATCTATGAGCTATCATTCCATCTAGGTACAACTTCTTTTTTGTCATTTCATTTAGGCTGAGAAAATCAAAATTGATGTGATTTTTGTTCCTTTAGTAGTTTGTCTACTCATTAGTCAATGCACAGGGATCTCACAATTTTATCTTACCAACAGCCAAGCTGATAGTGTTCTGCTACTCTATAGCATCTCTGCAGAAGTAAACAAAGACTGCTTAGGACTGGGGGCCATGCTGTATTTTCCTTTATTTCATGAATTTCCTGGGCAAAGAGTTCATGATTAGGTATCTGGCTTGCTTGAAATGAGCATCTTCATATTTAGTGAGGTCATTCCTCAGGAAGCAGTTTGTTGCCTCAATCTACTAGAAGCCTCTCTAGTATGGCCAACCCTGCCAGAGCTTGCTCTGCTGTGGCACAGCCTTTGAGAATCTGCAGCTACTTCCCTCCAGAATGAGGCCCTGGAGAAGGGCTTGGTGGAGAGAGTCAGAAGTATGGAGAAAATGTACATGACTTCACACAAAGATGAACAGTAGGGACCTCACAGAACCAGAGACCCTCAGAATTCAAAAGTACCCTAGAGGCCTTCTGCTCCAACCCAAATCCCCAAAATAATGCCCTTGACAATATCTCCAATAGGTGGTCAATCAGTCTTTATATTATGACTTCTAATGAGGGAGTGCCCACTATCTGCTGAGTAGTTCGTTCCACTTCTGAATAGCTCTAATTAGAAAAAGTGAAAATCTGCATATCAGCAACTTCTACTCATCTCTATCAGTTCTGTCCTCTGGGACTAAGCTTGAGCACAACTATGATATCTTAAATGTTTTCCTCTCTAGACTAAACATCCCCAGTTCTTCCCATCGATTTTCATACAGCAGAATTTCTGGGCTCCTTACTACCTTCCTCTGGACATGCTCCACATTGCCAATATCCTTTCTAAACTGAACTGAAAACAATACTCCAGAGGTGGCCCAACTGGGATAGAATACAGCAAGATTCTCTGACTTCCTATGTTCTACATCTAGACACTACATCTTCCCCCCACCCCCGGCAATTGGGGTTAAAGTAACTTGCCCAGGGTCACACATCTAGTAAGTGTCAAGTGTTTGGTCTGAGGCCGGATACGAACTCAGGTACTCCTGACTTCAGGGCCGGTGCTCTATTCACTGCACCACCTACCTGCCCCTACCTCTCCTCTTAATGCAGACTAGTATTACTATTAGCTTTTTGGTTGCCACCATGCCCTTCTCTATTACTATTCATATTGAGCTTTCAACCTGATCTTTTTCATACAATTTGTGTGGAAAACATCAAAGTCAGAATACCTAGCATTTATCTAGAGCTTTAAGCTTTGTAAAACACAATAAAATACTGTATTATCAATACAAACATCTCATTTTGTCCTCACAACACTGGAAGGTGTTGTTATTATACTGACTTAACAAATAAGGAAACCAAGGCAAACAGAGGTTAAGTGATTTGCCCAGGGTCACACAACTAGTAAGAATATAAGGGGAAAAAAAGAATATAAGGATAGATTTGACCTTGGGTCTTACTTGGGTCCAGGTTCAGCCCTACCATGGAAACATACTTCTTTGACAAATGGCTAAATGCCCTAATTCCTAACAACTAGTGCCAGTCACAAGAACACTGCTTATATTCTTACTTGAAGCCTTTCTAGCCCAAAACTTGTCAGTTTGTGCTCTACTAGTATAATCTCCAAAAAGCCAGGATCTATTCCATGCAACCCTGAGGTATAAGAATGGGACCTTAGTGGAAACTGTTAGCTGATTAATGATAAATGCATTCAATTCCTCAGTTAGAAACTGGTAGCAAAGTTACTACTGTTCAGTTCTCCATGGCTCCAGTGATCCTCTTCTGGCCAGGTCCTTGAAAATAGTGCCTACTGTCAAATTCCATACCCAGGGAAAGGCCCAGAAATAAATTTCTTATGGGTTTAAGAAGTGAAGAACAGACTAGGAAACCAGGTAGATAATTCAGAGATTGGGTAGACTAATGGGAAACGATGGAGCAAATTACATTGGATTGTGAGAATTTTTAAAAGAAAAACTTTATCTTGGCCCTGTCACTGTAAGCTAACAACTCTATCACTTTACTGTTACATGTGTAGAAGCTGACCACATCCAATGCCTATATTTCTTTACTAACAATGTTCCTCAGCTAACCATCAGTCTGTGTTCCATTCCTATTAATTCTACTTGAAACTATTCTCTTACAGGTCAATTGTTCTCTACATGCTAAGTCTAATAATCTTTTTCAGTTCTCAACCTTCACTCCTCTTCAGTTTTTGACACTGTTATCCCTTTTTCTTCTGGATACTTTTTTTTTAACTCTCTCCTTAAAGACAAGATACACTCTCCTGATTCTGTTGCTTCTAACCCTCCCTCTGCCTCCTTCACTGGTTCATCATCTTAATTTCTTAATGTAGGTATTAATTAGGAAACTATCTGTGGCCTTATCTTTCTAGACTATATTCCTTGGTAATTTTGCCCACCCCTGCTCTTTAAGAAAAAGATTATCAAGAAACAGTAGAAACATTTAAGGATGTCTCATCTTTAAGGAGAGAGTATCCAGAAGGAGATGAGGGTCACTGATGGTGCCACAGACTGAAATAGCAATGTCAGTAGTTTAAAGGAGAAAACTGTTTGAATTGGGACATGTTTTTTAAGTTTGATGTGCCCATTAACATCTGGGTAGATACCACAGTTGGTGATGTGGGTTGGGAGGTCAGAAGCAAGGTCAGGCCTAGAAAAAGAAATCTGGGAGTCATCTGCACAGAGATGACTCTCAAATCCCTCCTACCATGCTCATAACTTTAGGGTTATCTCTACATTTTCTCTTTCCTTTGACTACCAATTACTAGGTCCCATTGATTCCATTTCTGCAATAACACCTAAATCTGCTTTCTCCTTTCTACTCCCACTGCTATTTACCCCAGTTTAGGTCTTCACTACCACCTACCTAGACTGTTGTAATAGATTCATGATACTAGCTTTGTGATGATAGGTCACTTAAAAAGGATTAAAGGATATAAACAGGCAATTTTCAAAAGGAGAAACAAATTATCAATAAAGACATGAGAAAGTATTCAAACTCTTTATTAAATGAATCCATATTAGATCTGTGAAATAACTATCTTACACTGAGTAAATTGATAAAACTCAATGTTGGCAGATCTGTGGAAAAACAGGCATCATACACTTTTGATAAGAGTTCTGAACTGGTACAATTGGAAAGCAATATGAAGTCACAGAATAAGAGTTTTAAAAAAGCTATTCAAGCCCTTTGACCCAGTGATCCTATTAAGACTATATCCTAAGGACATGTAGTGTTCCATCAGGCTACCCCAGTTTGCACTTGTAGGTTGGATCTCCTAGGGGACAAATTCTTCAGGTTCAAGATTTTCCATGGGTCCACACTCCTAAAATCATAACTCACAATCCTACCCCTATCCACACTGAAATGTTTACCTTGTCCCTATTCATTCAGAGGACACAATTAGTTCAAAGCACAAATATTTATTGAATTGTCAAAACAACAGCAGTAGCAAAACATAACCCTCATTGGATTGTGAGAATTTTTAAAAGAAAAACTTTATCTTGGCCCTGTTACTGTAAGCTAACAACTCTATCACTTTACTGTTAAATGTGTAGAAGCTGACCACACGCCTACAAACACACGCAGTTTAAGAGGGAAGAGTAGATGTACATAGAATTCACAGTGGAGAGACACAGACAGAGAACACATTTAGCCAAGACAATGTAGTACAGCCCTCCTAGAAATCCTTAAACTGTGTCTCCTGGACAAGCTGTCCACTGGACTTTCTGAGCCTACTCCTGGGCTAGGGGCTTGAGCACAGTCTCCACTGGCTCCAGCTTCAGGTTCAGCTGACATCCTGGAATAGGATTCTGCTATGCTCTCTCAAAAAGCATTGCTGTCCATAACCCTATCATCAGCACGAGCCTAGGCTAAGGCCTGGCATCTTCTGAGCAGGATCCTCACTTCAGGCACTGGATTCTCAGATCCTTGTTACCACAACTCAAAGCTGCTGCTGGACCCAATGTCTCCTCTGGCCATGTACTCCTGCTGTAATCCTTACCCCCTGCTCCATGCTGTACTATGGAAAAAGCCCAAGAGCATCTTCAAGAAATGATTTTTCCTCCACTGCTTATTATTTTCTTGACTCCTTTTCCTAAAAGCTGTCACATCTATCTTCAAGTATACCAGGGGTATGGCTGATTCTCAGCCAGCCAACTGCCATGTCCTCTCAACCTGTCTTCAGCCAGTGGCTAACATTCTATAATTCCATTAAGTTGACTAAGGAGTTTTTTCACACTTTGTTACGTAAAATTTCTTATTTTGATCAAAGATTGATCCACTCCCTTTACAGATATATGATGGGGGGAGCATGGGAGGGAGAAATGGGAAGAGTCCTATTCGTATAAAAAACTTTAGCAGCATTTTAAATATCAAACAACTGAAAACAAACCAGGTGGTCAATGAGGGGGGAATGGTTCAAGCTGATAGACAAAGTTAATGGAATATTATTGTGCCTTAAGAAATGAAAAACATGGGGGCAGGTAGGTGGCATAGCTGATAGAGATCCAGCCTTGCCTTTGAACCTTAGTTCAAATCCAGCCTCAGACACTTGACATGACACTTATTAGCTGTGTGACCCCGGACAAGTCACTTAACCCCGACTGCCTGACCAAAAAGCAAAACAAACAACCCCCCCCAACATAAATACAATGAAATAATGAAAGACATCAGGAAGTCATGCAGAATGACCTAGTAGAAGCAAAATATTTATTTAAATAGTGCTTTAAGATTTGCAAAGAACTTTATATAAAGAGGCAAGCTGTTGCAGTACAAAGAATGCTGGAATTTTGAGTTGGAGAGGTCTGGCTTCAAATTCTGTTCCAGACACTTCCCAGCTGTACTACGACAAAGCCCCTCTCAAGCATTTTTTCTCATCTATGAAATGGGGATAATGCTTGTATTACCTACCTGGACTCTAAAAAAATAACAATTCACATTTACACAGTAGTACTCTGATCTTGAATCTCTTGCCCCATTGTCCTACTATTATCCTGGGTTATCTTGTTTTTCCCTGCTCAGACTTCTTTCACTTCAGTGAAGGAAGTCACTCAACCTGTTGACAGTGCCCAGTGTAGTTATGTTATCTAATCTTAGCCAGGTCCTCCCACCTGCATAGTAATCTTTTTATCTTTCCCCATCATCACACTCTTCCCAGCTATTGTTCTAAACCTTGTGTCTTTTTCCATTTTTGACACCACTTCTTTCTCCCTCTTTCCCAGCAGAGGTTGTTTTTAACTTTACTAAGAAAACAGAAATCCCAACCTGAGTACCCTTTTCTCTTAATTCAGCACCTGAAATCCCTCAACATTATCTCCCACTCTCTCCTTTGCTGGCTGTCCTTTTGCTTGCCAAAGGCAAACTCTTCAGTTGTGCCCAAAACCCACTACCTCCAGGAGTTTGCTTTTTCAATTATTATCTCCCTCCTCTCAGTCTTCAATCTCTCCTTATTTACTGCCGGAACTTTTCTCGCTGTTGACAAATATGCCCACATCTCCCCTAATTTTTTTAAAGCAATTTATTAAAAGCGATTAAAAAAACCATTTTATTGATGGTCTTTTATCTTTACATCAAAGTCGCTTCAATTCTCCCTTCTCTAGATTGAACCCTCCCTTATGACAAAACAATTAAGCAAAAACATCCATTACTGTCAGTGCATCTGACCACATATACAATATTCTAACCTCGTAGTCCCCTTCTTCTCTGCCACAAGGCAGGGAGAATATATTTCATTATCCACTCTCTCTCTCTCTTTTTTAAGGCAATTGGGGTTAAATGACTTGCCCAGGGTCACACAGCTAGGAAGTGTCAAGTGTTTGGTCTGAGGCCACGTTTGAACTCAGGTCCTCCTGACTTCAGGGCCAGTGCTCTATGCACTGCGCCACCTAGCTGCCCCCCCTTAGCCATTCTCTAACACATTAATTCCTTTTTCAATTATATTGAGTTTTGCTTTCCTTTAACTTTTTTTCCCCTATTTACATTGTTTCAGTCCCTCTTGTTTCTTGGTTCTGCTTGTTCTGGATCAGTTCACACAAATGTTTCCATGTTTCTCTGAATTCTTTATTGTTTCCCCCATTTTTAAAAAAAAAATCACTTGACACAATGGTTGTGTCAGTCAGTTTTCCCTAAATATTCTTTGTTATAAAGGAAGACTGTGAGGAAAGGAAAAGTCTGCAATATCTTTTCTTTTTAAAGGGATAAGATTTTTTAAAAGATCATTTGAAGCTGTAAACCCTTCAAACTATTCTCTCCTTTTCTCCTTTTTGGGGTGTACTAAAAACTATTATATTTGTCACCTCCAGTTCCTCATTTCTCACTCACTCCTCAACCCCTTACAATCTGGCTTTCAGTCCCACCTACAGATATATCTTTTTCTAAAATTATCAATGCTCTTTAAAAAAATGGTATTTATGTCTATTGTTTTTATATCACTTGTTTCCCAATCTATCCCTACACTTAATCCTGTCAGGAGAAACATTCCAAATAATAAAAGAAAAAATATAGTCCAACAAAACTGACACATCGATCAAGTCCAACATTGTATGTGGTATTTCATTCATATCCACAATTCCATGTCTCTGCAAAGAAAGGAGAAAGGTACATTTTTACATGCCTTTTAGGGGCCAACCTCGGTCCTTCTATTAATTTCACAGCAATCATTTTTAATTCCTTTATTGTTTTTCCCATTTACAATGTCGAAATCATTGCATGTATTATTTTCCTGTCTCTTCTTCATTTTGCATCACCTTATATCTTCCCATGTTTTCCTGCATTCTTCTTTTTTTTATTCTGCACAGTAACATTCCATTACATTTACATAACACAATTTGTTAGCTACTCTCCAAGTGATGGGAGGCTACTTTTAGCTTTTTGTCATCACAAAAAGTGTTCTTGTAAATATTATGGTGTATATGGGACCTTTTTATCACTGCACTATTTGGGTTTTGTATCTAGCAGTGGGCTCTCTGGATCCAAAGGTGTGGACATTTTAGTCACTTTCTTAGCATAATTCCAAATTGCTTTTCAAAATGGTCGGATCAATTCACAGCTCCAATAGCAGTTTACGAGTTCTCCAGTTTTTCAACAGCCTTCTACAACAAATCAATGACCTCTTAATTGCAAAATCTGGATGGCCTTTTCTCAGTTTTCATCCTTCTTGACCTAAATGTAGTTTTTCATATTATTTACAGAACTCTTTTATACTCCCTCAGTTTCTGTGACATTGCTTTCTCCTGGTTTTCTTCCTACCTGTGTGATAGGGCAAGCATAGATGTTTGTGGCTTTATGCATGCCTATAAAATACAAACTCCTCACTGTGGCACTAAAAGTCCTTGATTGGCTCTAGCCTACCTTTCCTGACTTATTTCACAGTCCCCTTACTATACTCTATGTTCAGTCAAATTGGCTTACTTGCTGTTTTCCTATATGTAACATTTCATCTCCTGCCTCAGGTCTTTCCCCAATTCAATCTATTCACACAGCTCCCAATGGGATTTTCCTTAAGGCAGATCTGACCATTTCACTCCCCAACTCAATAAACTCCTGTGGTTTTTTAATACCTAGGGTATAAAAAATAATTCCTCTTTTTGGCATTTAAAGCCCTTAAAAATCTGGCCCAAAACTGCTTCTTCAGACTTACTATACACTACTCTCCTTAACTCACACTATTTAAGTCTAGCCAAACTGGCTTTCTTAACTGTTCTTCACACATGGCTTTCCATTTCCTGATTCCAAGTCTGTGAACTGTTCCCTAAGACTGAAATGCATTCCCTTCTCACTTCTACCTCTTTTCTGCCCCACTTAAGTCTCACCTCCCCAGTACCTAGCACAGTGCCCAGCACACAGTAAGTGCTTAATAAAGGATTGCCGACTGACTAACTCCATGCCTTCTCTCTCCTCAGCTCCACTTTTTAGACTCCCCAGCTTCCTTCAAGACACAAGCACTACCTGGAAAGGGAAGCCTTTCCTGATTCATCAGCTGTTGATACTCTCTGCTTCCACAAATGACTTTTAATTTACTTACCTGTGACACGTTCTAGGATGGAAACTCCTTAAGGGGCTGTTCATTATTTTTGTCACCATATCCCTGATACTTAGTTTAGTAACTTACAAATGACAGACTCCTATTTGCTGAATTTAAGGCTTAGAACGTTTCTCTCATAACAACCCTGTACCAAAGATATCTTCCCTATTTCCTTTTTTGTTCCGATTGGTAATTTGATGTATGGGAAGCTTCCAGTATGGAAACTTCCTCCACTGATGTACATAGACAACAATTTGGGAAGAAAATAATCCAAAACCTGGAACAGATATATTAGGATTATACACATCTTTAAACATACTGAATGATCAAAAGCAAGGCCAAAGGCCGTACCTGTCCTCAAAGGGCTTATATTCTACTGAAGGAATTAGAGGTCTTCCTGACTTCAAGGTCAGGGCTCTATCCCCATTTTAGTGAAATGGAGACGGAGCTCGAGGGGGCTCAGTGATGGGCCCTGGCTGCCACAGGTTCTAAATGTTTGAGGCGGAACTCGAACACAGGACTCCTGGGCGTTCTGGGCTCCATCCGCTCGGTCTCGCAGCCCCATGCCCGCCCCTTTCCCTCAACCCCAGGCCCTTTCAAAGTCCTCCTCTTTCTTCTTCCCTCCCTCGGGCCCGCACTCACCCTCGGCTGCCGGGATACCGGACCCCGGAACGCCCCCCTCTACGGGATCGAAACCACCCCGGCAGGCCGGAAGTGCCGCCCTCCGGCTTCCGCCCCTCGGAGGACCAGTCCAATCCCAGTCCGGGACGACTCCGAGAAGGGGGCGGCTCCAAGGCGCGGCGTGAATTCTTCTGGGTGGTGGTGGGTTCGCTCGGGTGGTCAGATCGCTGGAGATCCAGACTGGGGGACAGGGAGCGGGAGCATGTCTACCTAACTGCTCCAGATCGACAAGCCGGGTCGTGGACTCGCAGAGTTTCCCCCCAAACATGGTACAGGCCATTACTCCGCTATCTCCGCTACCCCCACCCCCGTACTGGGCAACTGTTTGGTCCAGAGAAGAGCGCGGCCGAGTCAGGGGCGAGTCAGGGGCGAGTCAGGGGCTGGCGGGGGTTGAAGAGAACAAACCACCGAGGTGGCAAGGCCTCCGAGCAGCCTAGAGAGGTCATCCCTTGGCGCTCCCGAGGCCTGCCTGGATTGGTCAGATGCCGGAAGGGGCGGCCCTTTCTGTCTGCTTCTTTGGTTTGTGGGGGCCGCTCCGGAACTAAGGGTGAGTGAGTCGGGCTCGGCCCGCGGGGGGTCCCCTGTCTGCAGCCCCAGGATCTCGCTTAAGGTTCACCGACCTCAAAGCAGATCACCTCCCCACCCAAGCCTCCTGGAGTAGTTGGGGTGGCTCGGGCTCGGCTCTAAGCGCAGCCGCAGTTTAGCGCCGCCAGTCCTTCCCCCTCCCCCCATCTTTATTCTGGCTTCGCCTCCAGGGCCCCCCTCCTTTGAACAAGCGGGCGCTAGGATCCTGGACTTCCCGCTCTTTTCCCTGCCCCTGGGGACCTGGCAGATATTGGGATGCGAGTGTGTAATAATACCTCCTGCCTTTGCAGAAGGGATGTGTGGAAAGAGTCTTGGTAGAACGGTGTGATCCTAAACAAGCCGCTTAAACTCTGAGCCCCGGAGGGGGCCTCTGGTAGAACCCAGAACCAGTGGGTGGAAGGTGCCAAGGGACCAATTTGTAAAATGGGGGTGTTGCAGCCTTTATAGGATTGAGAGGAGACTCACGATCCAGGGTGTCATCAAAGTCTTAGTGAAGTTTTAAGTTAATAAAGCCTGCATGTTTAGCCTGAAGAGAAGACTCAAGGGGGAGGGGAGGCCCTATAGCTGTCTTCAGATTTTAGAAGGGCTGTCTGTGGAGGAGGTATTAGATTTTCTCTCACTGAGGAAGAACAAAAAGCAATTAGAGGAAGTTGCCAAGAGACCAATTAGGGCTTAATGTCATGAAAAACTTCTTAACAATTAAAACTGTTCAATTTTTGAAAGTTACATATTGAATTTATAATTTTATGTAAATATAATTTGTTTTATTCTAATATTTTACACTGTATGTTATAATTACATGTTACAAGATAGGCCAGGTGGCAGGGGAGGGTTTCCAACATAATTTCGGACCCCAACAGAGGAAATGGTGGGGAGGGGGACAGTTATGTAAATGTAAAAAACGTATATTTATATTACAAAGTGTTCCAAAAGTCTTAGTGCAGTTTTAAGCTTTGGGACAACCTGTATATTATATGTTATAATTATATTTTGTTCTTAAAAATAAAAGCAAGCTCTACATAATAGAGATTCTCATTTTCAGGTATAAACCCTTCCTTTTGTTATACCTTATATAAATTGCTTATTTTGTTTGGTGTTTAAGATAATTCTTTTTAAAAAGAGAAAAACAATTAGAGCTGCCCAAAAGTGAAAGGTTGCTTCCTGAGGGTTGAGTTCCCACTGCTTGGAGGTCTTCAAGCAGAGACTGGATAACCACTTGTTAGAAATGTTAATAGTGGGGATTCCTTTCTTCTGTGGGTTGAACTAGATGGCCACTGAGGTCTCTTTCGACTCTCAAGTTCGATGATTTTTTTATTCCATAGCAAACAATAAATGCTCAAAAAAAAATGACCAACTCTATAAGTATGGGTTATTAAAGATTTCCTTCCTCTGGTATGTTTAGTGATTTTGTATTGCCTTTAGGATAAAGTACAAATTCCTCAACTTGTCATAAAGGTTATAAAAAACCTTCTAAAATCTGCCTCTGGCATATCTTGCCCTCTTTGTTTCATGTTATTCTACAGACCAGCCAAATTGGTTCTCTCCCACCACTGTGTTCTATTAGACTGTGAGCTCCTTGAGAGCAGGGATTGTTTTTTGCTTTAGATTGTAAGCTCCTTGAGGGTAGAGACTGTCTTTTTTTTTAAACTTGTGTTTGTATCCCCAGCACTTAACATAGTGCCTGTTACATAATACATATTAGGTGCTTAATAAATACTTGTTAACTTGACTTGCATACCATCTCCTGTTTTCTTGAGCACAGGTTATCTCCTACTCCTGTAATGTACTCTCCCTCCCTACCCCTGAATCTTTATCTTCCTTCCTTGCTCCATTTTCTTCCATGCCCCCCCACCCCAGTTTTTGTGCTTTCTCCTTCCTAAAATTACCTTTTATTTATCTATCACTGTGGTTGTTTTATGCCCCAGTAAAATATTAGCACCTTGAGGTCAGGAATAGGTTTATTTTTGTGTTTGTATCTTGAGCAGCTAGTCCATGTGTACACTTCCTCCCATTTCCAATTGTCTGTGGCTTCTCAAAATAATGTCTCATAGACATTTTAAACTGAACATGTCCAAAACTGAACTCATCTTTTCTTCCAAACCCTCCCTTCTTCCAAACTTCCCTATTACATTTGAGGGTACCACCATCCTTTCAGTCACCCAGGCTCACAACTCAGGTCTCATCCTTAACTTCTCACTTTCACCTCCCATTATCCAATCTGTTGCTAAGGTCTGTCGATTTTGTCTTTGTAGCATCTTTTGAATATACCCTCTTCTCTACCCTGACATTTCCACCACCCTTGGCCCTCATCACCTTGGCCTTGGACCACTGCAATAGCCTGATAGTTGGTCTGTCTGCCACAAATTTTTCCCCATCTCAGTCCCATCTTCTACTCGGCTTTCAAAGTGATCTTCTTAAAGCAAAAGTCTGAACATGTCATACCATCTATTCAGACTCCAGTGGCTCCCTATCACCTCCAGGATGGAATGTAAAATCTTGTGTTTGGCATTCAACACCTTTCATAACCTAGCCCCTCTTCTACCTTCCAATCTTCTTACACCTTACTCCTGACTAGGTGCTATACATGACACTGGCCTCATTGCTGTTTCTTGAACAAGACATTCCATATCTTGGCTCTAGGACCAGGCCGGAAATGTTCTCCTTCCTCATCTCTGACTCCTGGCTTCTTTCAAGTGCCAACTAAAATCCCACCTTCTACAGGAAACTTTTTCCAATTCCTCTTAATTTTAATCCCTTCTCTCTGTTAATTATATCCTGTTTATTCTGTTTATAGCTCGTTTGGACATAGTTGTTTGCTTGTGTCCTCATTAGCCTGTGAGCTTCTTGAGAGCAGGGACTTTTTCCTCTTTTTGTATCCCCAGCACCTGGCACAGTGCCTAGTGTGTAACAGGCTATACTAAGTCAAAAGTGAAAAGGCTCCAGCCCTCAAGGAGTTTAAAGTGAATACAAAGCAATTTGTTATTCCTAGGGTAGTGGGGAGGTACCTACTGCTAAGGAGATGAGGAAAGGCCACTTACCAGAAGTGGCTTTTGAGCCAAAGTCTGAAGGATGACAGGGATTCTAAGAGGTGGAAGTAAGAAGGAAAAGCGTTCCAGGCATGGGATACTGCTTATGGGAAGGCACAGAGAGTGGAAATGGAATGTCTTTAAGGAACAACACAAGTCCAATTTGTCAGGAACCAGAGGGATTGGGAGTGCTGTGTACTGAGCTTGGAAAGGCTTCACAAAGCCTGCTCAATTGGTAACAACCTTCCCCCTCTGACCTTATGTAGCACTTTATTTTGGTTGGTTGGTTGTTCGTTCTTGAAGAGGGTCAGAATGATATCACTATGTTGGAGTGAAGGTACAGTGTGCGTCTGACTGGTTGATCAGACCAGTATGAGTTTGGAAAGCTCTACCACAGGTCTGGCACAAATAGTCCACATGCACATTTGGAGTGGAGATTTACACATCCCACGTTTCTTTTGAGCTACTGCAATTCTGCTTTGCTCAGAGAGTTTAGGGCCTTCTTTGATGTGGGCATTTAGGGTGCTGGGCAGTCCTTTACTAGAATCTCCCATGTCACACAATCGATTATATAGTACTTCAGAGAGACCTTGAGAGTTTCCTTATATCACTTCAGACTTCCATGTGAGCGCTTGCCTTGTGTGAGTTCTCTCTGTAAAATAGTCTTTTAGGAAAATGTACATTTGGCATTCAGACATGACCAGGCCGTTGGAGTTTTGCTCTCTGCAGTATTTTGAATGTTTGGCAGTTTTGTTCAAGAAAGGACTTCAGTGTCTGTTACCTTATCTTGCCAGATGATCTTCATAATCTTCCTAAAACAATTCAAAGCGAATTAACTGTGTTTCCTGACTTGATTCTGGTAGCCTGTCCAGGTTTCACAGGAATCCAGCAGCTCTGTAGACCTTCAGTTTGGTAGGCAGTCTAATACCACTTCTCTCCCACAGTATTCTAGTTATGACTTTATTACAAATTAGGATATTCTATATGCATTGGAAAGATACAGGCAGAGTGCTATGAAGGAGACATTAATTGTCTTTGGGATGGTAGGAGGTGGGAAGATTGGGTGGAGAGAAGGAAAGGCTTCATGAGGAAATTAGCATCAGAACTGGTTCTTAAAAGATCATGAGCTGGATTTAGATCTGGAAGTGCCCCTAAGGGTTATTTTTACAAAGAAAAGAAAGAAAAAGGATTTCAGTAGGATGAAAGCTTGGAGTGTGGTGTATTCAAGGCACTCACTGGTTTCTCATCTCTTCTCCTAGTGGTAATTATTCCCCACGCTCCTAACAGTATCTAATATTACATCTTCATTCTTTTCCTCCAGAGATTTCTTTTCCCCAAGCTCCTAACCATCCTTTTGAAGAGAACCCAGGAGAACTAGTGATGACAGCTAAACTCTTGCCATCAAGGCCCCAGGTGAGCTGTCCTTCCTGAGATTCTATCACTTCTTTGTCTTAATGTGGCCTTGAGTCTTCCCTCTGACCAAGGGGCTTCAGTAACTATATTGACCAAGGACCTGAATCTCAATTCCTTGCCCCTCCCCACCCCCAACCCCCATCAATGGCAGGGGCTGAACTAGGATAAGGGCTTCCATACTGCTTGAAACCTGATGGTGGCTCCTCTCTATGTCCACCCCTCTCACTCTCCAAGACAAATAGAGTTTAGGGAGATAAGCCCAATCTATGACTTTGAGAGATTTTTAGAAAATTACTTTTCCCTGCATGGGGGCTCCTAGCTATGTGTTGTTAGCCTTAATCTGGAATTAGAGGAGATGATCTTAAACTCTTCATTCTCTAAAATAATATCATAATCTGAGAAAAAACTGTTGCCTTAGTCATCACATATATATCTGCCCCTTCCCCAACCCCTGTGCACATCCCTACACATACTTTGATTCATACCTCGATATGTTAATTTAAATACTTATACTCACATGCATCCACAGTGGCAAACATATACAGGCAAATCATCAGATCTTGTTGCCTCACCCTGCTAGTGGGGCTGTTCTTAGAACTACCTTAGGAACTTCTTGTTTCAGGCAGACATGATATTTGAGGATGTGGCTGTGTACCTTAGCCAGGAGGAGTGGAGCTGTCTGGGTCCTGCCCAAAGGGGTCTCTACAGGGATGTGATGCTGGAGAATTATGGGAACATAGTCTCACTAGGTAAGACCCTGCCCTCAGTACCTATATCTGAGCTTCTTGGCTTTGTAAATTTAAAGGGGGTTTAAAGGATGTAGTCATGTTCAGGGATCATATTCCCAATCATGTCTGGGCTCAGAAAAGGCAAATTTCCTACCTGTTTCTAAGCCCCAGACCTGGTATAGATCTGGAAATTGTGAGTATCCCTGAGGCTGTACTTTTTTCTTCTTCTGAATTGCGTGTTAGAGTCCTGAACTTGCTGCCCCAGGTGCAGAAATCACAAAATCTCACAGTTGGAAGGGAGTTCAGAGACCATCTGTAATTATACCTAAATAGGAACCCCTTCTGAACTACTCCCTACAAGCATTCAGCCTCCTCTTGAAGAACTCTAGTGATGGGGAACTCACTACCTCATGAAGCCAAGGCAGCCAAGTGGCCATTTCTAACTATTAAGCTTTCCTTTATATAGAGGGAAATATATGCCTCTTTGCATTCTCTACACATTGGTGTTAGTCTCGTCCCAAGGTTTAATAGGAACATTCCTAGAGACTGAGCTCCCCACCATTCTAATGGGAAATAAACTAATTGTTCCCTCTGCTTAGGTTACCAGCTGTCTGACCCTTCATTGTCATCTAGGGTAATAATCCTGAGATCCCTCCAAATGATGCTCAGACTTTCCCAGGACCTCCTTATCATGGCTTCTATGGATATTGCATTTTTCTCACCAACCCTCACAAACTGAGGGGCTAGAACTGAGCTTAGCATAGTTCTTTGTTCCTAGATATTTACTAGGTCTCATTCCTCCTAGGATATTTACTAGGTCTCATTCCTTTCCTTATAAGCAGGATTTCCAGTGCCCAAACCTGATGTGATTTCCTTGCTGGAACAAGGGGAAGAGCCCTGGGTCTTGGATAGGCGAGGAGCTAAGGGAAGAGAGATTTTTAGAGACAATTGCTCAGGTAAGCGAGTGAAAATTTTTCCTTCAGTAAGTATACATATATTTACAGAGCATTTTCTGTTTGCTCAGTGTGTTACTAGGCAGGGATCATAGTTTCACTGAGCTCTTAAGCTGAAAAACACCTTAGAGATCATCTATTTCAGGGTGCTCAGAGAGGATATATGATTTCCCAGGATATAGTTTCTAGCTTTCAACTTAAGAATCTTGGCTCCAAATCCAGGATTCTTTCTACTTACACCACAGCTACTTCCAGGTATCATAAACCAATCCAGGCTAGGAATGACATTGTTATCAATAAATAGTCTGTTGAGAATCGTGAATTAGGTGGTGACCTCCAAACTTAATTTAATTCCCAGTGTGAAGATGAGGTTATCAGTTGCAGAGACCTTCTTTGGTTTTAAAAATAATTTTTCTGCCCCTCTTTATCTCTGTCTTTGGCTTTTCTAGAAAATCTTGTTGGGCTTATGTCCAATCTGCATTTTTCTTTGAGGTTTCATTTGTAGATGTTTTCAAGTCATTGTCTTCCATGTCTGTGTCTTTAGCTTTTAGTGAGGAGCCAAGGTTCACATCAAGATGGTAAACCCGGGTGATTAGGAAGATGGTGGAGCCATCCACTGTAATAGGGAATTTCAGAAAAGGGGAGGGTTGTAGAGGAAGATAGTTCTCTGTTGAGTCTACAGGATAGCCAGTTCAAGATGTCTTAAGTGTATACAACTTATTTTTTGCATTTGAAATTCTTAAATATCTAGGATGTCCCAAAAGTCTGAGTGCAGTTTTAAATTATTTAAAGCCATTAAAGCTTAAGGCAGATTTTGTTTTTTGGTGAGGCAGTTGGGGTTAAGTGACTTGCCCAGGGTCACAGAGCTAGTAAGTGTCAAGTGTCTGAGGCTGGATTTGAACTCAGGTCCTCCTGACTCTAGGGCCCATGCTCTATCCACTGTGCCACCTAGCTGCCCCCATCCTTATTATATTTTCTTAGAAATCCTCTGGGTGTCAGGTGGGCCCTGTGTTTCCAGTTCCATTCCTAATACATTCAAAGCAATATTTCCTGATAGAAAAAAAAATTTTATAGCTAAAAAACTAATTTCTTTCAAATAAACTCAGATTTGGGGTTCAGATATCAATGTGTTGACTCTAAAGCCTTTTCCTCTTTTGACTTTAAAGAAGTCAGAACTTTATAGGATATTTTTCAACCTTGTATAAACATGATACATCAGGAATCTGCATAAAAAAACTTACATATGACTGGACTTTGTAGCAACAAAACTGCTCTTGTCATTATTATGAAGTACTTAATTTGTCTACTGCCTCTATTATCCAGTTTTCCTCTGAATTTTTCCATATAACTGAAATTTATTTCTTTAAACTTCTAAAACTTCTTTTATTGTAAACATTTTTATAGTAATACTTATATAACTATTTTTCCCTCTTAATCTTTCCCCTAGTCAGACCACATCTGGAATATTATTTTCAGTTCTGGACACCACATTTTAGGAAATATTTGAACAAGACGGAGCACTCACAGAAGGATGACCAGAAAGATTAGAGAACCAGAGACCATGATCAAATGAAAAACCTAGAAAGGTTTAGCCTAGAGAAGAGAAGACTTAGGGGGAACACAACAGCTTGACTTCATGTATTTGAAGGGCTGTTATGTAGAAGAGATAGTAAACTTGTGATGCTTGGCTTCAAAGGACAGAACTAGAAGCAGTAGCTGGATGGTTGCAAAGAGATAGATTTAAGAAACTTCCTGTTGATTAAAGCTGTCCTAAAGTGGAATAGGCTGCTTCTGAAGGTAATGAATCCTTTTTATTGGAGGTTTTCAAACTAGAGTCTGGGTAATTCCTAGTTAGGAGGGAATTCCTATTTAGGTGAAAGTTGGATTAGATGGCTTCTGAGATCTCTTCTAGCTCTGAGATTGTATGATTCTAGACAAAGTGTACTGAATATAATTTAACCTTTTCTTGATGAGTGATGGTGATCATCATAAACATTAGTTATTGGAAGAGCACTGGTCTTGCCATCAAGAAACTTAGGTTATAATCAAAGCCATGTCACTAACTTAAGTGAGTCATAAACTTATTGGACCTGATTTTGCTCATCTGTGTTGTGAAATATTAGACTAGAAGAGGGGTTCTTTACCTTTTTTTGTGTCATTCTGTGACCCTTTTGGCAGGCTAGTGAAAACTATGGTTTGTTTCTCAGAATAATGTTTTTAGATGCATAAAGCAAAATACATAGGATTAAAAAAGAAACCAATTATATTTTAAGTACAATTATTAAAATATTTTTCAAAAACAAGTTTAAAGTCCCCAGGTTAACCCCTGGACTAAGGGATTTGTTAAGGTTCTTTGCTTATTGACTGACTGACTGACAGCTCTGACTTTCTATAATTTTATGATTTTTTTGTCTTCCCAAAAGACATTTGCTTCATTAATTTTGTCTTGTTCTTGCTTCAATAGTTTACTTTAATACAAAAAAAGCAACCTGTAATATCTGAATTTTGTATTTATTTCAGTTCATGAAATTAGCGATGAGAAGTTACCTCAAAAACTGGAACCTTCTACAGAAAAGAATTGCATGGATTGATGTCCAAGAGAATTGGGGGATGTCTTCCAGGGATTTGACTTGGGAGAAACCTGGGACTATGAAAGAGAGTTAGAGAAACATCAGGAAAATCTTGCAGTTGGGATACTGAAGAAATCCTTTTGCCAAAATAGGGGTTTTGGGCCAAACAAGATCTGCAAAAAAACTTATGTGGGTCAGAGAAATGAAAAGTGTAATGAATTTCAGGGAAGCTTCAGCCTGAGCCCAAACCCTGTTAGGTACCAGAATGTTCCTACAGGAGAAAGACTCTATCAAGAATTTATATGTGACTTGACTTTCAAACAGAATTCAAACCTGATTAAATATCAGAGAATCAACATGAGTGAGGAATCATGTAAATCTAATATATGTGGGAAAGCATTCAGAGAGAGTTCAGCCTTTATTGAAGGCCACAAAATTCATGGTGGAGAGAAACCTTATGAGTGTGATAAATGTGGGAAAACTTTCAGTCAGAGCTCTAACCTTATTGATCATCAGAGAATTCACACAGGAGAAAAACCCTATATCTGTAAAGAATGTGGAAAAGCCTTCAGGCAGAGCTCTAATCTCATTAAACACCAGAGAATTCACACAGGAGAAAAACCCTATAAATGTAATGAATGTGGGAAAGCCTTTAATCAAAGCTCTAATCTCATTAAACACCAGAGGATTCACACAGTAGAAAAACCATATGAATGTAATGAGTGTGGGAAAACCTTCAGCCAGAGCTCACATCTAATTAGCCATCAGAGAATTCATACTGGAGAAAAACCATATGAATGTAGTGAATGTGTTAGAGCCTTTAGTACCCGATCGTCTTTTATACAACATTGTACAATTCATACTGGAGAGAAACCGTATAAATGTAATGAATGTGGAAAAACATTCAACCAGAACTCTAACCTTACGAAGCACCAGAGAATTCATACTGGAGAGAAACCTTACGAATGTAATAAATGTGGAAAAACCTTTAACCAGAACTCTAACCTTACTAAACATCAAAGAATTCATACTGGGGAGAAACCGTATAAATGTGACAAATGTGGGAAGGCTTTCAGTGCTCGTTCATCTTTTATGCAGCATCATAAAATTCACATTGGTGAGAAATCCTACAATGAATGTTGAAAAACCTTTAGCCAGCACTTTTTAACCTTAATAAACATGAAGTAATCCATAATGGAAAGAAACCTTACAATGTGATGAATGTGAGAAAACCTCCAGGAAAGCCTCATTCTTTATTCCACAGTTTAGAAAGCATAGTGAAAAAAATGCTCAATGAAAGTAACAAATGAGAAGGCCTTTAAATGTAATGATTGTGGGAAAGCTTTTAGCCAGAATGCAGACTTATTTGGCATCCAAGATGTTATACTGGTGACAAACCCTGTGTATGTGATGATTTTTTTAAAACACTCAGAACTCACAATTCACAATGAACACAAATCATAATGGAAAGAAAACCTATCACTGTAACAAAAAGTGCAAGAGACATCAGGAAGAGCTCTGATCTTAGTAAATTTCTGAAAGTTTACACTGGAGCAAAACAGACTCTGGGAGAAACCATTAGTAACTCCTTGGGCTTCATTTAAAATCATAAAAGTCATGGTGGAGAAAAAAGCAAGTTCTTTCAATGTAGGAAAATCTTCAGTAAGAGTTCTAGAGGATTCATTTGAGAGAAATCTGATAATGAAGACATTTGGATACATAAGAAGGACCTGTGATTTCATTAGAGGGAAATCTGTCATCTGTATATGATTTAATAGATAATTTCTATGAGGCAGTATTTGAACTTAGGTTGTCCTAACTCCAAGCCTGGTACTTCATCTACTATACCACATGGCCTCTAACTTGAAATGAAAATAATAATTTGTTGATATAGCACTTAAAGTTTGTAAAGTGCTTTATAAATATCTTGTTTGAGCCTCACAATAACCTTGTGATGTACTACAAATATTCCTGTTCTCATTTGACAAATGAGGAAGTAAGCTCAGAGAAATAAACAGCTTGCCTGTGGTAACATAGCTATAAGAGATAGGATTTGAACCAATGTCTACTTGACATCAAGTCCAGCACTTTATCCACTGTACTACATTGCCTTTCCTAATAAACATGAACTATACATGCACCATATGGCATAGCATCTAAATAGGCTTTAAAGGAAAAACTTACTCAAAAGCCAGAACACCTCAATAGTAAGAAAGTAATTACAAGTCCCTGACATTCCTCTTTTAGAATTTTAGAGAAAAAGAAGAACATTATAGATCTAACAATGCTGACAAAACTAGATTTGATAAATCTATACTGATTATAGAATAGGAGTACTATAGGATATACTTATTTAAAAAATTTTTTCCAGTTACATGTAAAAACATTTTTTTTGGGTTCTAAATTTTCTCCCTCCTTCCCCTCCCCTCTCCTTGAGAAGATAATTTGGTATACATTATATATGTATACTCATGTAAAACATTTCCACATTAGCTATGTTGCTAGAGAAAACACAGACAAAAAAACCCAAGAAAAATAAAATTTAAAAAGTGTACTTTGATTTGCATTCAGACTCCATCATTTCTTTCTCTGGAGGTGGATAGCATTTTTCATCATTAAGCTCTTTGGGATTGTCTTAGATCACTGTATTGTTGTGAATAGCTAAGTTATTCTCAGCTGATCATAGCACAATACTGCCATTACTGTGTACATTATTCTCCTGGTTTCTGCCCACTTCACTTTGCACCAGTTCATATAATTCTTCCCAAGTTTTTTTTGTGAAACCATTTTGCTTGTCATTTCTTGTAGCACAGTAGTATTCTATCACAATCATATACTGCAACTTGTTTAGCCATTCCTCAATTGATGGGCATCCCTTCACTTTCCAGTTCTTTGCCACCACAAAAAGAGCTGCTATAGTTTTGTACATGTGGGTCCTTTTCCCATTTGTATGAACTCTTTGGGATAGGGTACACATAGTTTTATAGCCCTTTGGGCATAATTCCAAATTGCTCTGCAGAATGGTTGGATCAGTTCACAACTCCACCAACAGTGCATTAATGGCCCAATTTTCCCACATCCCTCACCAACATTTGTTATTTTTCTTTTCTGTCATGTTAGCCAGTTTGATAGGTGTGAGATGGTACCTCAGAGTTGTTTTAATTTGCATTTGATCAATAGTGATTTAGAGCATTTTTTCATATGACTGATTTTTTAACTTTAGTATTTTTATTAAATTGATAGCATGCTAGGACTTACGAATAAATGTAGAAAAGCAGAAATATCAATCATAACAATAACAATCAATGAAGGAAAATAGGAACAAGGGATACAGACCATGATGAAGGCCAACAACATTCTAATTAGTAAATCAAAGAGCAAATCATAGAAATAAAAATTGAAACAACATACCCCAAATTTATGACTAATCCTTATAGAAGTGTGTATTTCTGAAAACAAAATAGAAAACTAAAAAAGAATTCATGTAATTAAAGTAGAAAATAAACAATCCCCAAACAAGCATGAAAGAAGAAGTTTTAGAAATCAAAGGAGAAATAAAATTGAAAAAAAGGCCACGGACCTGATGTATTATCATCTTGGATTTTTAAAAGAATAACAAAATTAGTAAGCCATTATCTAATATGACCAAAAAGAGAAAAGTTAAAATGCCAAAATCAACAATGTGAATTCATAACAAATAGGAAATATAGATTATCAGAAATTAACATACCAAGTTAAAACATTATTTAAAGGAAATTTCTCAACAAACATTTATTAAATATCAAGCACTATGTTATACCCTGAGAATGCAGAGGCAAAAAAAAAAAAGCTGCTGCCATCAAACAGTTTATATTCAAGGAAACATGTATGTTGGTACTATATTATAAAGTGAAATTTAGGTTATTTTAGGGGGAGGCATTAGTAACTGATCAGAGTGAAATCCATTATCAATATATGATTTAGTAGGTAATTTCTATGAGGCAGCGTTTGAGCCTAGGTTTTCCTAACTCTAAGCCTGGCACTCTATCCACTATACCACACTGCCTCTAACTTGAAAATAATAATTTGTTGATATAGCACTTAAAGTTTGTAAAGTGCTTTCTAAATATCTCATTTGAGCCTCGCAATAATCTTGTGATATAATACAAATATTACTGTTCTCATTTTACAAATGAGGAAATAAGCATAGAGAACTAAACAATTTGCCTGTGGTCACATAGGTCTTCACATGGGAACTGATGTTTGAGCTGAGCTTTGAAGGAAGCTCAGGATGCTAAGGGGGTGAGGAAGAAGTACATTTTAAATAGGAGAAACCCTGTGCAAAAACATGGAGATGGGGTGCAATCACTGAGAAACACAAGTCCAGTTCAGCTAGACTTTAGAGTGAGTGAAAGTGACTAGTTTGTAATAAACCTGGAATAAATGCTACAGCCAGATTTAAATGCCAAATGGGTTTATGTTGGATCCAAGAGGTAATTAGGAGCAACTGGAATTTATTGACTAGGAAGTGATATGGGTCAAGTCTGTGCTTTAGGAGTAACTATAAATACAAAAACTATATGAATAAAAATACTTTTTTTCTTGTTTTAACTTTTTGTTGGTAGCTTTTACTTTCACATCATATATATATATATATATATATATATACATACATTATATATACTTATATATTTTAAATATATCTGTCCCTTATAAGAATTTCAATTAATAAACATTTATTACATGCCAGGCACTGTGCTAGTCACTGGGATTATGGAAAAAGGCAAAAGACAGTCCCTCCCCTTAAAGAGGTTTACAGTCTAATGGTGGAGAACTTTATTTTTTAATATGGTCAGTAAAACTAGCCAACATAGGAGTTAAGTATGCTATCTGTTGGACAAGTAAACACACTGACTACGCCATTTCTTAGGAAGGAGACAGGAGGGCTTCTAGCACTTCTCTCACTAGCAGGTTTGCTTTTGATCTGGTCAGACAGGAGGACAGGAATGGAGTCATAATAAGGGGTTAAATAAGCTTACTTTATTCTAGTCTAGTATTCTCAAAGGGAGTTTGCTGATAATGGGAGCTCCATCTCCTACAGTATTCCCTGACAACCCTTCTCGCAGGGGTTGGAGTGAAGGAGGGGCAGCTACCCCTTGTCTTGATGGGGTCAATCTAGATCAGAACAATTTGTGCACTCCCCTAAATTCCCTCAAGCCTCAATGCCAGTTGAGGCAAACACACAGATTTCCCTTCCCAAGCGATGATGGGGGCCAATCAAGGCATGCACAGCATTCAGCCTGCACATTCACCCCTATGTGAGTCCCCAGTCACTGATCAGTGCCCACTTGCTTTATAGGGCAACAGACAAGGCATATTGCCAGCAAAATAGCCTCGCAAATTTACATCTTCATCCCTAAATCTACTGCAACTGCGCAGCAGAAAATGTTTTGAACCATCATCATGAGAACTCATATCTAACACCTGGAAAGTAGAGATTGTTATGGCTATGGATCCTGGGAAGAAAACTCTAAGAAAGAATAACAAAAAATCCACTTTACACACACTACAATTCACCTTCCTCACACTATTACACTCTGTTCCACATCCACAAGTCTCCCATCCCCATGCAAAGATGGGAGGAAGATGTATTTTCATCTTTTTTTTTAGCTTTTTTTTTTATTAACTTATTTATTTTTAGTTTTCAACATTCACTTCCCTAAGATTTTGAGTTTTAAATTTTCTTCCCCTCCCTCTCCTTACCACTCTCCAAGATGGTGTGTAATCTGATATAGGCTCTACTTACACATTCATATTAAGCATATTTTCACATTAGTCATGTTGTAAAGAAGAATTAGAACTAATGGGAGGGACCATGAGAAAGAAGAAACAAAACAGTAAAAGAAAAGGAGAGCAAATAATATGCTTCCATCTGCATTCAGACTCCATAGTTCTTTCTCTGGATGTGGGTAGCATTTTCCATCATGAGTCTTTTGGAGTTGTCTTAGATCCTTGCATTGCTGAGAGGAGCTAAGTCTGTTAAATTCAGTCGTCACACAATGTGGCTGTTACTGTGTACAATGTTCTGGTTCTGCTCACTTCACTCAGCATCAGTTCATATAAGTCTTTCCAGGTTTTTCTGAAGTCTGCCTGCTCATCATTTCTTATAGCATAATAGTATTCCATTACTTTCATATACCACAACTTGTTTAGTCATTCCCCAATTGATAGGCATCCCCTCAATTTCCAGTTCTTTGCCATATTTTCATCTTTTGATACCAAGCCTGGTTGTTATAATTCCATGGCATTCAGATTCAGTTGTTTTGTTCCTTCCATTTACATCATTGTAGTCATTGATTTCTCCTTATTGCATTTTGCATGAATTCATATAAACCACACATACTTTGAATTGTTTATAAGAAATATCACTTTGGACCCTTTGACCCAACAGTACCACTTCTAGGTCTGTATCCTAAAGAGATCATACAAATGGGAAAAGGACTCATCTAGCAGCTCTTTTTGTGGTTGCAAAGAATTAGAAATTGAAGGGATGCCCATCAGTTGGGGAATGGCTGAACAAGTTGTGATATATGAATGTAAGGAATACTGTTGTGCTATAAGAAATGATGAATAGGCAGACTTCAGAAAAACCTAGAAAGACTTATGTGAACTGATGCTGAGTGAAGTGAACGGAACCAGAACATCGTACATAGTAACAGCCACATTGTGTGATGACTAACTTTGATAGACATCTCTTCTTAGCAATGCAAGGATCCAAGACAACTCCAAAAGACTCTTGATGGAAAATGCTATTCATATCCAGAAAAAGAACTATGGAGTCTAAATGCAGATCAAAGTATGTTATTTGCACTCTCTCTTTTTTTCCTTTGTTTCTTCTTATGGTTTCTCCCATTGGTTCTTATTCTCCTTTACAACGTGACTAATGTGAAAATAGGTTTAATATGCATATATATGTAGAACCTTTACCTAAGTGCACAATGTCCTAGGGTAAGGGGAGGGAAGAGATGGGGAGAAAATTTGGAACTCAAAATCTTATGGAAGTGACTATTGAAAACTAAAAGTAAGTAAATAAATAAATAAGAAATATCACTTTAGTAGCTATGTGAAGTTGGCACTGGAAGTAGAGATACCAATTAGGAAACTTCTAATAGTCCAGCAGAGGTCAATAAATATTATGTACTTAGTATTTGCCAGGCACAATGCTAAGCACTGGAGATACAAAGAGAGGCAAAAGACAGTCCCTGCCTTTAAGGAGCTTACAATCTAATGGGGGTGATGAAGGACTGAACTAGGACAATGACTTCTGTGGGTGGAGAAAAAGGAATGTATGCAAGAAATGTGGAGGTAAAATTAGTGAGACTTAGGCAACTAATTTGCCATGAGATAATATTTGTAAAAGTGCTTAGCACAGTGCCTGCCACATTTGTTGTTGAATCGTTTCAGTCATGTCCAACTCTTTGTAACCTCATTTTGGGGTTTTCTTATCAAAGATACTTGAGTGGTTTGCCATTTCCTTGTTCATTTTACAGATGAGGAGCTGAAGCAAGCAGGGTTAAATGACTTGCCCAGAATCACACAGCTAGCAAGTACATGAGACCAGATTTGAATGACTGAAAGTGACTGAAAGCAGGGGAAGTGAATGCACAACTTCCCTAGGGGTAAGCCTTTCCCCTAGGAACTTATAGCTACAAAAATATAAAATATCTAAGTTAACAAAAGAGGAAATGAATCCTAACTACTCCAATCTCAGAATAATTGAGCAAGCCATAAATTCTATAAAGCATTTAAAGAGCAATTCATCTATATGCTACATACATTATTCCCCCCAAATAAAGACGGCATTCCACCAAACTCATTTTATCAGAAAAATATGGTCATAATACCCAAACCAGTGAGGTATGAGGCAAGGCAGGCAAAACTATAGATCAGTATGTCAATATCAATGCAAATAATTTAAAGATTTTATTTTCAATATGACCAAAGTTGATTTATACCAGGGATACAAAGGTCATTCAAGATTTTAGGAAAACAGCGTAATTAATCATTAATAAAATTGTACACTCAGTAAAAGTTTCAACAAACTATAAAATATATTAAATATGCCAAAAAAAAGCATAGCATTAGAATGCTATTTCCTTCATAAAACAAAACACGTGAAACCAAGAACTATCATTATTTGTAATGGTAAAACATTAGGAGCTTGCTCAATTATTAAGAGTAAAACAAGAATGCCTGGGGCAACTAGATGGGGCAATGGATAGAGCACTGGCCTTGGAGTCAGGAGGAGGACCTGAGTTCAAATCGAGTCTCATACACATAACACTTATAAGCTGTGTGACTCGGGGCAAGTCACTTAACCACAACTGCCTCACAAAAAAAAAAAACCAACCCAAGAATACCCTCTATTATTTCATAGTACAAGAAACACTAGCTACAACAATTAAGGCACTAAGCACGGGTATGGAAGAGGCAATATCCCAATTAGCAGATGACGTGTTGATTTACATAGTAAACCTTATAGTATAAAAAATGAGACATTCAGCAGGAAAAAGAGACAATAGCATGATACACAACACATCCACAAATTTTTTTTGAATATTGCTGCCAAAAGTTAGGAGGAAAAGATAGACAAACTCCATTTAAGATAGCTACCAAATGCAGAAAATATCTGGGGGGTTCTGAATGAAAGGTAAAACACATACACAGAAGGTGGGTGATGTGCAAAGATAGCAGGTGGTAGGTGTGGTGTGAGGTAAACATTTAAAAATTCCTATTTCTGACTGAAGGACAAGCTGTGGTGGTAGGTACACTGCTGCTTTGTATCTTTCACAAGATCATAGAACTATACAGGAACTTAGTGATCACAGAGCCCAACTCCCTAATTTCATAGCTGAGGAACCTGAAGTCTAGAAAGAAGTGAATTGCCTCATGTTACACAGCTAGCCTAGCTACTGGTAGAGCTAGAATTACTAGACTATCTCCTCTCTTGCAGAAGTAAACATTTTAGAGTGGGAAACTACAGATTATAGATTCAGGAAAACTATATCCTTTCTTTCTGACACTTTTTCCTTTGATGCAGGGGGATCTGTGAACTTGCTTTTAAAATTATTTTGGTATTTCAATATAATTGGTTTCCTTTGTGATGGTATGCATTTTATGTTATGCATTTAAAAACATTCTAAGAAGGGGTCCATGACACAAAAAAAGGTTACCACCCCTTGAGAGAGGAGAGAAAAGGAGAATAAATTGTACTTGTGGACTGAAATAGAAGCTATCAGAGCCTGAGCCAAATGAAGCTTACAGGGCAGAGGCGTAACAATGCAGACACAGTGTGAAGTCACTTAATAGTTGTAGCACTGGAAACTGCAACTATAATTAGGGTATACTGTCACCGGGGGGGGAGCTATATAACAAAGTTGGACAGCCCAAGAGGGAAGACACAAACCAGAGAGCTGACAATATATAGATTGTTAGGTTTTTTCTTTTAATAGGAAAATATACATTTTTGTTAAAATAGTTAAATACCACTAGCCAGTGTGTATATATGAATTTTACAATCATGTATAAGGTTTGAGTAATCAGTGAGAATTATAATCAGTGTGAATATATATATATATCTATATATATATATCTATATACACACATATATTCACATCAACATGAATATATATACAAATATTAATATACATTAATATATAAATATATATATATACATATGTATATATTCTTTTAGGGTAACTGTGGAAAAGAAATGCCCAAGATATATGAACCCATACACTAATTTTAAACCTTTCTTCAAACTCTAACATAATCTTCTTGGGTTGGTACAAACTCCAGTGCTTCAATCCCACTAAGAACATGTATATAGCACTTCAGGGTTTACATAATGCTTTGAATATCTTATATGTCATTTGTTAGTAACACTACTAGTAATCATAGTATTTCACGTTGGTATAGCGCTTTAAGGATGAGTGATTCACAGCAACTCTGCAAGGTTGGCAAAATATTGTCATCCCTATTTTACAAATAAGGAAACAAGCTCAGGGAAGTGTTTATGTTCATGTAGCTAGTGAGGTATGTGAGGGGATGGGAGCCTGTCTCCCTGCCCTCCCTCTCAGTCAGTTGATGTGAGCACAGAAAAGGGCGGATAACAGAGGTAATGAGGTATTAAGAGTCTACATCCTTGGATGTTGAACTCTCTGAACTCTGCTTCCTGATTGATGTGGTGTTTCCTACTGGGCTGGGCAAGTAGCTCCACTACAAGACACCATGGCCAATGGTGGTAGTGGTGGTGGGATGCCGAAAAGAGAAACTCCTCTTCCTTTCTGCCCTTTGGAAGAAGTACGGGGGTCAGACTCTATAAAGATGATCCCTGCCTTGAATTCCTGAACTGTTCAAAGAGTATCACTAAGGTTTGTCAATGCCAAACTCAACTTCCAATTCAGACCTTTTTCCACGAAGGGATAACAATGAATTTTTTATACTGCTAGACGAAAACCTCCTCAGCTCTGCTGTTTGCCCCCTTACTTTACATCAATTAGCTGGGAGAAAGGGAATACAAAATCCTACCCTTCCTCTCATACACATATCTCCAAGTACACTAGGTAGTAGCAGAGCTGGGTCTTGAATCCAAGTCTTCAGGGACCCAGGTAATGCAATGAAAGAACAATGGATTTGGAGTCAATCCAACTTGATATCAAAGCCCTTATCCCTGCTTTTTCAGAACCACCCTGACTTGAGCTTAAGGTATCATTTTTGGAACTACTTCATGTCCCTTGTTCTCCAATGAGAAAGTGTTATCTTCTCACTTCTTTTCCCCCCTAGATTACTCTGTAATCTCATCGACTCTATGACTTAAAAGAAGCTACATGTCTCAATACCTGATATTTCCAACAGCCAAGGGAAATATGAGTCTTCCAACAAAGCAAAACATTTTGAAAACAAAATGTGGAGGAAAAAGTTGTTTTATCATAGTAAATGAAAATAAATCTCTTCATCAGAGAAGATATAAGAAAAAAGAAAAAAGAATAAAGAAACAGGAATGTTAAGAATTAACGTGAAGAAGTCAGTGTGGTGTAGTAGTGGACTTGGAGTCAAGAAGATTTGGTTTTGAATCCTACCTGACATATACTAGCTGTGTGACTGTGGATAAGCCACATCCTTTCTGAGCCTGTTTCCTACTGTAAAATAATAATACCTAATCTATACCTCACTGGGTTGTTGTCTGAGTCAAATGAGATATTGCATGCAAAACATTTTACAAACCTTAAAGATTTATAAAACTGTCAGTTATTATTGTATTTTAAAATATAACTTTGGAAAATCATATTAAGATATCTTGAAATTCAGTGTTTAAAAGGTACTAAGGTTCCTTGTTTTAGTCACACTTGTTCTTTATACTTTTTTATAATAAAGATGTGGTGTAGTATAATAGTCAATTATAAAAAAAAATTCTTTTTTGAAAGTTATTTTAAAAATTGAAATTTGGAGTCATAGGACATAGGTTTGAATCCTGGCTTCACTATTTTCCTCCTGTAGGGCCCTAGGCAGGCTATAAATTTCTCTATCCCTCAGTCATCACTTCTGTAAAATTAAAGGGTTAAACTATGTGATTTCTAAGGGTCCCTCCCAGCTCTAAATCTTGTGATCTTATTAAATTCATAAAGATTCTAGCACCAAACCACTTTTCATTCATTTGGGGAAAAGGCACACATGAAGAATACATATTGCAGGGGGAGCTCACTAAGAAGTCAACAAAATATCCTTGCGAGCTGAATTAGCAGAAATAGGTCTGGAATTGGCAGTTTTACTACAGAGTTTATCTCCAGTATGGCTACTTTAGAGCTCAATAAGTGTTGAATAAAAGCTTAGAAGGCTTTCCCAATTTCATTATATTCATGTTCTCTAGCATGAATTTTATGATGGTGAATGTTTTGAGCAATCCATGAGAATTATAATCATAGTTTTTCCCCAGTGTGAATTCTCTGATGTTTAATGAGATTAGAGCTCTCACTGAAGGTTTTTCCACATTCCGTTACATTCATAAGGTTTTACTCCAGTGTGAATTTTTTGGTGTTTAATAAGATTAGAACTCAGACTGAAGGCTTTTCCACAGTCATTACACTTAAAGGGCCTCTCACCAGTATGAAATCTCTGATGTCTTATAAGGTTTCCACTTTGGCTGAAGGCTTCCCCACATTCATTACACTCAAAGAGTTTTTCATATTCATTTTGCTCATTAGGATCTTCATTATGCATTCTCTGGTGCTGAAGAAATGATGAATGCATACTGAAGGCTTTTCCACAACCATTACAATGATATGATTTCTGTGCAATGTGAGTTCTCTGATGTTTAGTAAGATTAGAATTCTGGTTGAAGGTTTTCCCACATTCATTACACTCATAGGGTTTTTCACCAGTATGAATTCTCTGATGTTTAGTAAGATTAGAGTTTTGGTTGAATGTTTTTCCACATTCATTACACTCATAGGGTTTCTCACCAGTGTGAATTTTAAGATGTCGAATAAAAGATGAATGGACACTAAAAGACCTCCCACATTCATTACATTCATATGGTTTCTCACCAGTGTGAATTCTCTGGTGCTTAATGAGGTTAGAGTTCTGGTTGAAAGTTTTCCCACATTCATTACACTCATAGGGCTTCCATCCAGTATGAACTTTTTGATGTTGAATAAAAGATGACCGTGCATAGAAGAGTTTATAACATTCTTTACACTCATATCGCAGCTCTTCGGTATGAATCCTCTGGTGTCTGATAAGGTGTGAGCTCTGACTGAAAGCTTTCCCACATTCTTTACATTCATAGGGTTTTTCTACAGTGTGAATTCTCTGGTGTTTAATAAGGTTAGAACTTTCACTGAAGGCTTTCCCACATTCATTGCATTCATAAGGTTTTTCACCAGTATGAATTCTCTGATGCTTAATAAGGTTTGAACTCAAACTGAAGGCTTTTCCACACTCATTACATTTATAGGGTTTTTCTCCAGTGTGTGTCCTCTGATGATCAATAAGGTTAGAGCTCTGACTAAAGGTTTTCCCACATTCCTTACACAGAAAGGGTTTTTGTCCACTGTGAATTCTTTGATATCCCAAAAGAGTAGAATTCTGCCTGAATATTGTTTCATGTACATTAGACTTATAAGGTTTTTCTTCAGTATGGATTCTCTGATGGGTAATTAAATCTGAATTCTTTTTGAAGCTTTGGCCACATACATCACAAAGATGAGGTATCTCTTCTGTAGGAACTCTCAAGTGTCTACCAGGGTTTGAATTCAGACTGAAGCTGCTATGGAAACCACTTCCTTCCTGGCCTGTCTTCTCTGTGGAGGCTTTCTTAGGGATCACTGGTCTGAACTCTCTTTCCTGGGAAAAGGGTTTCCTAAATTTTTCCCCTGTGAGTTTTTCCAGGTCTCCCTCAAATCTGCTTTGATATTCAAATGCTTCTTCATACCCAGGCTCCAGGGAAATATCCTCTTTAAGTCTTTCTGACATCATGTGCCATAATTCCATTTCTTCAAAAATGTCCTCTTTTAGAGATGATTTTTTTTTCAGTTCTGTCTTCACAATCTGAAACAATAAATATAAAACTCAACTGTTATTCATACCTTATTCCAGAAGAAAGGAAATAGGGAAGGAACAGGATAATCCAAATGAAACAATTGCCTCCTAAGAAGATGTGATTTTGATGGGGCTGTTGTGAGACTCAAATGAGATAATTAATGTATGTAGAGAATGATATAAATGTCAGCTAAAATCAATAATACAACTCGGATTTTTGCATCATTTTCCTCACAACAATCCTTATGAATATTATTATGCCCATTTTATAGATGAAGAAATTGAGGCTCAGAGAGGTTACATGACTTGCCCCAAGGGCATACAAAAAGTAAATACTGGAGATGAGATTGATGCAAACCCAGGTCTCGCCTTTAGTGCAGCTTTCTTTCCACTATCACCCCACTAGATCAAGTCTGAAGAAAGAAGAGTGAAGCAGGGAACCAAAGTGGAGGGAGGAATGGTGAGCACAGTGGACAAAGTGAGGCTAGAGACTGAGAAGAACCCATGAAAAAAGATGGGAAGGATGGCTGGGAGATGGGCAGAAATGTGGAGCTCTGATATGAGCAGACCATCAAACATTTCAAAGACATACAGCAAAGCTGTATACTAGGTACTAGGATTACAATGAGGAATAGACGTAATGAAGATTATCTTTGCCTTCAAAAGAGAACACTAAGTGGGCAGCGAGGTGGCGCAGTGGATAGAGCATCAGCCCTGAAGTCAGGAGGATCTAGTTCAAATCTGGCCTCAGACCAAACACTTGACACTTACTAGCTGTGTGACTCTGAACAAGTCACTTAACCCCAATTGCCAAAAAAATTAAAAAAAGAAAGAGTACTAAGGAAGGCGGTAGAAAGGGAGTAAGCATTTCTATAGTATCTACTATGTGCCAGGTACTAGTACTTTAAAAATGTTATCTCATTTAAATAAACATTTATTAAGTGCCTATTATATGTCAGCCACTGTGCTAAGCAGTAGAGATACAACAACAACAACAAAAAAGCAGAAGCCAATTTCTACCCTCAAAAAGGTTACAATATAATGGAGGAGACAACATATAAACAAATACACACAAAACAAGCTATATAAATAAATAGGAAATAATTAACAGAGGGAAGACACTAGAATTACAACAATCCAGGTGTGAGGTGATGAAGGACCTACACCAGGGTGGTGGCATTGTCAGAGGAGAGAAGGAGGCATATTTGAGAGATGTTGCAAAGATGAAATCAGCAGGCCTTGGAAACAGATTGGAAATGGGGGAGGGGGGAGTTATTCACTTATATCTTTTTTTTTTTTTAACATTTTGCAGTTTCCTTATTTAATGGCAGAATTTAAATACAACATTCTTTCCATGGGACCAAACTGTCCCTTCCAGCTCTAAACTTAGAGGTCTAAAAAACAATGAATAGAGATTTCAGTGAAAATCTTGAGAGTACAGATGAGGGAGAAGAAAAGTTACAGATGTGATTTAATGTGGGTAAATATAATCCAATTTTTATTTATAAGATGACAGGCTCTGAGTACTAAACTCCCACCCATATAAGGATCATTTAAAATAGTTGGGGAAGTTTAGCTCACAAAAGAGTAGACTTAGGTTGGGGGCATGATAGGGCTCTTCAAGTACTTGGGAGGCTGTTATGTGGAAGAAGGATTAGAATTACTTTGATCCCAGAGGATAAAACTAGCAGAAGTAGGAAGAAGATGCAAAGAGTTAGATTTAAGCCTTATGCAAAGAAAAAAAATCCTAACAATTAGAGCTATCCAAAGGTGGACTGGTCTGTCTGGGGAGGTGGTGGACTTGCTGTCACAGGATGTTTTAAAGAGGAGTTTAAGGAACTCTTGTAGGGGATGTTGTACACTCCCATTTGAATATTGGTTAGAGAAGATGATCTTTGAGATGCCTTCCAACTGTGAAGTTCTCTCTGTGTAGTTCTATAACCCAGAAAAGAGCCTAAAAGCCACTGTAATAGCTTCTCTGGCTTGCAAAGGCTGAGAAAGATATGACTGGGATTCATAAAAACACAAAGATAGAAAGGTAGAGTATGACTTTCCTCATTAAATCCCAGAATTACCATGTCCTGTTTTAGGGAACAGGTAATAAAAATATGGAATTCACTAATCAAAAAGATCATAGAAGCCTTAAATAAAACTATATTGATAAGAGTTTACATAAACTCAAGAACAATAGATATGGTATAATGGTACTAGCTATTTCCCTAGACTGTGGACTCCATTGCACAGAGGAAACTTCGGAACAGTGAGATCAGGCACACACTCTCTGGGTGAACTAGCTCCAGCCTGCTCATCATCACAGGCTGTAGCAATCTAATCTAACTCTACTCAGTCCTGACTTCCTTCTCTTTCTTTATGGACTAACACGGTTTTGCTGTCTCCTCCTAGGGCTCTGCTAGTGTCCATATGTAACTGCATAGACTAGATTAGACAAACCAATTCTGGCATCAGCCTGAATGGACACGAGCCCCCAGATACCTTTTGGTCATGGAGAGCCTGTAAAGTCCCATGATGAGAGAAAATGTAACACCTCTCAGACCAATGTATGTCCTGCAAGCCCAATTCTGACACATAAGAGTAAATGACGGCAGGTGCACAGATTAGCAGCAAAGAATGCCCTTTAGAGAAGCCTTGTAACTATGATCCCTTTGTTGAAGGAGTTAATGATCTAGGTTCCTAGAAACAACTGGTTTATGTGTCTTCTTCCTTCTAAAACAGTGGGAAACACCTAGCTCTGAAGAGTTTTGAAATGGATGTTGGAAAGAATCCCTAGCCTGGCCAGAAAGCCAGTCTTCCTTGAGAGAACTTTGGGGGATGGGGAAAATTCAGGGAAAGCTAAAGGAAGTTTCCTTTCTTTTCACAGATCATATAGCTCAGGTACAAAGAGCAGAAACTCTGCAAATAGAAAGTCTTGTCTCTGAGCCCAGATGAAATAGGAATCTTAACCTTGAACTAAGTTTAAATCCAGTAATTTTCCAGCATTTTGTCCATACAGAATCTCCTCTGAGCAGGGCCTAGATACCTTCACTCCTTCCAAGTGGAGTACACAGATATACTTGCAAATGTCTCTGATATATGGAACATATATCAGGCCCAAGATCTGTTCTACTGGGTGAGGGAAAGAGAATCTAATATTGCAAAGACTCTGAATGTATATGTGCTTCTGCATGTGATGGTTTTATTTACCATTACGTGTTTGTTTCCGACTTGTTTATTTTCCCTCTAATTTTTAACATCTCCTCTTTTGTGTTTATTTAGTGGCTTTTTAATTTTTAAAAATTTATATCCAGTTCATTAATCATCTTTTTTTCTATTCTGTTAATGTATAATTGTAGGTATACAATTTTTCCCAGGGGCTGCTTTAGCAGAAATCTTGGTATGTTGTTTTATCATTATAATTTTCTTTTAGTTAGTTATTGTTTCTGTGATTTGTTCTTTGACATTATTTAGGATTTTACTGTTAAGTCTCTATTTGGGTTTATGTCCTTTGTGGATCATTAAACCAATTACTATTTTTATTACACCATGGTCTGTAAAGCACGTATTAACTATTTCTGCCTTTTTATATATATTTTTGCACTATCTCTATGCTTTAGTGCATGAACAATTTTTGTAAAAGTTCCATGTGGTGCTGAGAAATGTGTATATTCCTTTGCAGTTCCATTTAGATGACATAAGTCTTTTGGCTTTAATTTCTCTGATGTTTTGTTCAGTTCCATATTTTCTCTTTTGTTTATCTTTCTGTTAGACTTGTCCAAACCTGAAAGAGACATCGAAGTCTTTTGTCACTGTTGTGTTACTATGTCTTATTATAGCTCAGATGTTTCCTTTATGAATCTGGATGCCAAGACATTTGGAACATATAGGTTTACTATGGATATTGGTTTATTGTCTATGGTTCCTTTCAGTATAATGTAGTTTTCTTGTTTATCCTTATTTATTTATTTTAAACAAGAAGTTTATTTAAACAACAAGATGTTTGACTTGAAGGGAAAACTATCTAGGATCAATTTTTTTATAGTAATTTATCCCTACTGAGAGACAGAGATTGCCCTACATGTAACAGCTACGTACAAAAAAGTTGTAAAATCGTCCTTGGTTTTACAATGATAAAAGAAAAACATTGAAATTATCCAATCAAACAAGGTATGCAAGAATTTTTTGTGTTTTTTTTTTTTGTTGTTAAACAGTGAGAGCAAAATAACTTACTGGAATATAAAGATAAAAGTTGAATGAGCATGCCACTAATGGAGAAAAGGGATATTTTCACAGAACCAGTTTGTTTTTTCCCCTCCCCATCTCCATTTGATGTTGATCATAACATACCATCGGCCATTTAGTTAAAAAAAAAAATGCATCGTGCCTGTGCACATACACCAGTTACTTTATGTACAATAAAGGAATGGGGCAAGGGAATCAAAGAAGAGAGAAAACTATACTGCAGTAGTCAGAATGTGGATGAACCAAATCTTGGTTTTCTAATTGTGAATGTATTGTTT